TAATGATGAAAATGGAGTAAACAATTTTAGTTTGGAGACTTGAGTAAAGTGGCAAAGGGGCTCTGGAAAACGTATTGCCACTAAGAGTTATCACTGTGACACCTAAATCATCACCAGCCATTGTAGTTCACAAAAAGTTAATACTTCGACCCCAGCTGGCATGGTTCAGTGGGTTGGGCATCATTTTGCAAACAAATCAAAAAGTTACTGGTTTGATTCCTGGTTGGGACCCTATCTTTTATCCTTCCTTCTCCCTCTCCAAAATAAAAAATAAAAATGAAAGAAAAGAAAAAGAAAGAAACAAAGAAACGGTTAACCCTTGGGCCCCCTTTTCCCAAATTTCTGTGTTTGTCATTCTTGCCTAGGGCTAAAGAACGAGACTCACTTATCTTTCTGCCAGCCCTCCCACATTCCACTCTGTTTCTTCCTGTGTACTTTGCTTAATAAGCAGCCCACCTGTAGCATCTTCCCTCTTTGATCTCGCCAGGGCCTTTTTCCCACCCTCCCTAAAACAATTACTCAAGTGGTGGCTCGGCTCTGGATCATAAGACAGAAGACAGCCAAAAGCCTGGGCTGCCTTGAGTCTTGTGAGTGAATATGTCAGGCATCTGTTGAAACTCTCCAGAGAGGTCAAACTAGTGGGGGGAGGGGAAGGCCTGTTTGAATGGGAGAATACCACAGTTGCTGTAGGACACAAAGTTCTTTTGACTTAGAGTTTAATGAGCCTCCACTTGAATAGGACCTACATGTCCCGAAAGATAAGGGCGAGCATGGAAAGGCACCATTTGCCTCAGAGGGCTTCCTATAGCATAGGCTGAAAATTGGTGGCAAGTCCTGGATCCTAATAGTAACTCACAAAAAGAAAAGGTCTGCTCTTTACTTAGACTGCTATTCCCTTCTGGGCAAGATACCTCCCTCCATGTCAGCAGACCAGGGTCCATGAAAGAATCTGTACTGAACTTAGAAGAGAAAGTTGTGATTGCAGGAGAAAGTTTTCTATAAGCCTGAGGCATCATTTCAATTGTAGAGCTTAGAACACAGTGACAGAGTATCGTGGGCAAAAGGCTTAATAGAATTAGAAAAATGAAATGGATTTCAGAAGAAGCATCTGTATTATGACTTTGTAGAGAGAAAGAAAAATAAACGTGTGCATGGGTTCTCAAACCATTGAAGTAGTCATAATCTTTCCCTGACCATCTTTTTAAAACTTTTAAATTTTTAAAATTTATTTAATTTTTTAGAAAGAGGGGAGGGGGAAAAAAGAGAGGGAAATATTGATGTGAAAGAAACATCAATTGGTTGCCTCTGGTATGCCCCAACCAGAGACTGAACCCTCACCCTAGGCATGTGCCCTGACTGGGAATCAAACAGGCAACTTTATCCTTTGCGGGATGATGCTCCACCAACTGAGCCATACCAGTCAGGACTAACTTTTTTAAATTAAGATATAACTGACATATAACATTATATTAGTTTCAGTTGCACAATACAATGACTTGACATATATACTAATCTGAACATCTTGCCACAGTGCATAATAGTTACTTGAGTTACTTTGTACTTAGGCTAACAAAATATTCCCTAGACAAAAGGCTTAGTTTACATAAATTCCCCTATTTAACATTTGCTAAGTAGACTAAAGAAGTTTTCTTTGGAAAAACTTGTAAGAAAAATATCTGCTGTCATTTATAAACCATAACCAAACTATCGGTTTACATGAGACATAGGCAGTGATCATGCCTTCAAACATGACTTTACTTCAGCCATCTCAAACAGTAGGATACATTTTTCTATTCATAATGCCCTTCTAGATTTAGAAATCTACTAATTTTGTTAAGGAATCAAAATAAAGACTCCTTACTACATTAGTTCTAGAGCTACCTATTCACCTCCTTAATGTTCCATACTTAAAAATTTACCCCAGGAAGAACAAGGCCTAATGGGGGCCAAGTCACAGCAGAAAAGCAAAATTTCAAAGAACTAATACCAACTTTGAGTAAACCCTGCTGTCACAAGCTGCTAAAACAAAAATGGAAATAAGAATTAGTGTATTTTCCCTGAGTCATGATTTCAAGTCTATGTGCTAGAGGTAATGTGACTTGAGAGTCTTGAAGACATTACATCGGCTCTGTTTCTGGATTCTCTCAGGGAGAAGGCTATCAGCCTGTTCTACCCATCAAATGTTGTACCTCCTTTAACAACAGTGACTCAGAATTTCCCAACAACGAGATTACATGAAAAAGTACGAATTGGCCGAGGACTAAAAAATAACAATTGATTAGTTTATTTGAGATATCTGGCTGCTACATTCAATCCTAGGCCAATATTTAGGACTTCTTAAAATTATAAGTTGTAAATTTATGTATTTGGGGACAGGACCCTAGAAAACAACTAAAAATCTCTGGAACAAATGCCCAGAAAAGGTTTGAAAGTAGAAATGTATTTCAGGCAACTGGTTCAGTGAGGGCTGCACAGTAGGAACTACAAATTAACATACTCTATACATGTATATTTTCATAATTAATAATCAATTACCACTGAGCCCTGAGACAATACGTGCCAACATGGTTAGAGAGTGTTTGTCCCCATTTTCTCCAACTAGTTGGGCACCCTTCCTGGAGGGGCAGAGCAAGGTTGTTTCGTACCTCAACCTCACAGCAGTTGGAATAAGCTTCTCATAGTCTTGAAAAAGAGGGGCCCGGTGGGTAAAGCAATTTTCTTTTTAATTCAAAGAAGCAAAGGTTACTAAATCTGAACAAGCGCCCACATTTTCTTTTGGGAAATGGAACCAAAGGATGATTCAGACAGGGAGACAGGCAGCAGACTCTAGGGAATGAAGAGTCATGAGATTCCAGTTTTATTCCTGGCTCTACCCAAGACTTGCCATGTGACCAGCAGCAAGCTACTTCTTTTCAGCAGGTCTCTCAGCTTTCCTTTCTCTAAAAGAATACAGTCTTATTCTCATCCTATTTACTCTGTGATTTCCTTGCAAAAACAGGGTGTTAGGGAATATTTGAGGTGTACCAAAAGGCTAAAGGGTGTGCTAAGCTCCCTAGACTTGGAAACCAGGAATATATAAGTACTCCTCATTTATAATAAATCATCTTAGTGATATTTTTAAGTCATGAAGCAAGATATTAGCTTGATTTTACACAATTTGAAATTTAACAATTAAGCAATTCAAGTAAAAGGACATCATAGGTTAGAAGGTACTACCTACTAGAACAGTATAAACCCATAACCCAGCTCCAACAAGCATTTTAATACCCAAGACAGGAAGCAAAGTATATTTGTAAGTCAGGATATATCTAGAAATTAGAACCATTCTTACTGAGAGTGAGAGGAAACAGGCAATGAGTGAAGATAAGAAAGATAACTACATACAATAGCCAGAATGCTGAGGGCTTGTTTACTAAACACTCTGGTCTCAAATTTATATAACTTTCAACTTGTTTTAATGGAAGCTTTTTCTCTTAAAACAATTCAAATTTTAAAATATATAACTCTGTGAGATATGAAATTTTCTTTATGAAGTTATATTTTAGCATCAATTTTTTTGCTGGAACACACCTATGCCCTAAAGTGTAAAACATCTAGGAGTCAGCAGTACTCCAATACTGCTGTATTGTCATTGTAATGACAACTGACATCCAGAATCAATTAATGACAAGCCGGTAGCAAAGCTCCCTGTCTTTCACACAAACACAGCTTATTGTTGAAATTAAGTAACATCTACATCAAGACTAATCAGATACATATTAATCGTATGTTTAGTAGTTTGAGGGCCCTTGCATTTGTCAAGGAAAGGATCCAGCATTGCACACAAGTAAGTGACAACTTCACCCCACCACATACCTAAATTCCATAACCTAGCCGGGACCCATCTTTTGGCTTGCCATTAAATGTAAACTGTCTCTGGGCCCCATCCTGTCTGAGACACCCCAGATTGCTTTTATCCTAAAATCCATCTGCAAAATGAATGCAACAATAAGAGGAAGAGTCATCAAGATTCATTTGTTTTTTTTGCCCTGGCTGGTATAGCTCAGTGGATGCAGGCCTGCAAACTAAAGGATAGTGGTTCAATTCCCAGTCAGGACACATGCCCAGTTCCCAGTGGGGGACACACGAGAGGCAACCATACATTGATACGTCTCTCCTTCCCTCCCCCTCTAAAGATAAATGAATAAAAAATCTTTTTTTAAAGATTTTATTTATTTATCTTTAGAGGGGAAGGGAAGGAGAGAGGGAGAGAAACATCAATGTATGGTTGCCTTTCATGCGTCCCCTGCTGGGAATTGGCCTGCAGGGAACTGATCTGCAACCCAGGCATGTGCCCTGACTGGGAATCGAACCGAGATTGTCTGGTTCGCAGGCCCGTGCTCAATCCACTGAGCTACACCAGCCAGGGCTCTAAAAAATCTTTTTAAAAAAAGATTCATTTTTCACCTGAGGGAACCAACATCCCACTGAGCATGGAGAGACAAGGACCATTCTGACTTCAAGACCACTGAAGCACTTTATTTAATTAATTTATTTATTTAAATTATTTTATTGTTGTTGAAGTACAGTTGCCTGCATTTACCCCCCACCACTGCAGTACTTTAAATTAGATGAAATAATTTTCTAGCCTGTCCAAAATAAAGTCCTGTAAGGGCAGGTATGTATGTTATGTGTGTGTGAGTGTATCAGAGGTCACAGGCTTAAGGCAGGGCTAGGTACACAGTAAGGACTTGGGGAGAGGTTGTTAACTTATTATACAAATGAGCAAATGGAAACTGATCCTTCACTGTGGTGATTTTCTATTCTGGAGTAAAAGGAAGAAACTTGTGGAAAAAAAGAAATCAAAAGCCACACATCAGCATAGATATAACTAGAAGTAGCAGATGGTACTTTTCTGGTGGAGAACTATGCAACTGCTCGTTCAACAAAATTGGGAGCCCTTGGTGCCTTTGATTTCCCAACTCTTCCACTGTCAGGCTATCTGAGGAAACGACACATACCTCTTCCTCAAGCTTTATCACCTTGGCCTGGGCGTTACTTAGGGCCTGGTCTCGGATTTCGATGTGCCGCCTTTGGTCCTCGTTGGTAGAGCGAGCAGTGGCCAGCTCTGCTTCAAGCTTCTCCTTCTCCCGCTGGCTTTCCTTATCTATCAGGACATAAAATACCAACACTGGCATTCTAAACCTGGCTCAAAATCTTACCAGAGCAAAACTGTCAAGCATATCCATTACTAAATATTCTGGTGTTCTAACACATAGCTAAATGAACCAGGAAACCAAGATCTCTGGCTCTACCACTAACTTATTTTATAAATTAAGAACAGTCACTTAACAGTGTTTGTTGTGCAGAAGCAATGAGAAAGTAGCTAGCTATAAAGACTGTTACAACAAATATTTCACAAAAGAGAATAGACATTCATCGGAAGAACTAGTAGGCTTCTCTAATCAATTTTATATCTTCGGTCTTGTATTGGCAAAAGAACAATTAAAGCACTCTCCCTCAATTCCCCTATTGTTTCCTCATGAAAGTATATTAAATCAATATAAAAATTATATTTCATAAAATGCATAAAACTTCAAATCCCACCTTAACTCACTAACATTTTTAAACTAAAATCAATCCATAAGTGCATTGTATCTACAGATGATCATACAGTTATTCTCCATGCTTTTATAGGTCTCTCCCCTTCTAAATTGGACAGACCTTATACCAGAAACTTGAATGAACAATTTTGATTCTCATCTGGAGGTAGAGTACTCCCCTTCTTGAGACCTTAATATCTGAGTTTGTAGGAGAAACCCTAATAGGGCAGCCTCGCCTTCCTGCCTACTCTGACTTCACATATCTGTTCAGGTGTAGCTTGGCAAAAATGAGTATTTGTTGAATACTTAGTGCATATCAGGTATTGTTACAAGCGTAACCCTCAAAACCACATAAGGAAGATATTATTATCCTCTTCTCCATTTTGCATATGAGAAAACAGAGACTCAGAAGACTTGAGTAACTTGCAAAAGGACCCACAACTGGTAAAATAAGTACTAGAGACCATACTTAAGTCCAAGCTCTTCTAAACTCTTCCTACTGTACAGTAGTTTGAGCACACTACTCAGGGAGGCTTTTCAAAAGGGCTTTCTTGGCTCCTGCCACAGTTACAACTGAAAGCAAAGTCCAGAGGCAATAGAAATTAAAGAGCCACAATTCATGACCTTTTCCATGCCTATGAGGTAGAGCCCACTTTTCCCTTCTAGAACCATAACAGTTTTCACTCTGCTGTTAGTACAGTCGATCTGCTACATTATCACATTTTATAAATTAGTAGCAGAGCTACTAGAACACCTGAAATAACTACTCCACATAGGGAGAAATGTCGGCTAACAGATCCAACCCAAGAATCCATACATTTTTTGTTTGTGTTGTTTTGTTTCGTTTTGTCCTGGGAGGCTGCCACCCTTTCTACCAGCGAACTAGCTTCCAGGATAACCATGACACCAGAAAAGCAACTTCACAACAATTTACACTAGGCACTGATGACACCAGAAAAACTACATTCTTTCCTCTAAGACATAAAAAAAACAACCAGGAGGTTTAGGGAAACAAGAAAGAAAATGCCCCACTTCTGAAGGCAGAGCACAGTGGAGCAACTGAAAAAGGGAGGGCAATATTACAAGTGAAGATCAAACAAACTTGTAAAAGCTGACTGTAACCTACATGGAATGACTTGAAAGGACTATGGGTAGGCCCAGCAAAGATAGGGCCTGACAAGTCCCACCAAGAACTACTCCATCTGGGAGCCATACTAGGGAGACTGAGGGTAGAGGACATCTATTAAGGCCATCTGCACAAGTGGGGTTAGTTCATGTTTCCTCCGAATTCACTCTCCCTATGGACTCAATCTATTGTGCAGTTTTTATTGCTTGTTTTATACTGGCAATTGGAAAGAAACATTGTCTAACTGGGTGGAGTCCATTAGGGAATGATAAAGAAGAAGATTAATTCATTGTTCTGGTCTTAGGAGTATTTCCAGACAAAGGAAAAACACTATTACAAAGAAGACATAGTTCTGCAATCCCTATACCCTCCAACTCTGTAAACAGAGTCACTAGTTCAAGCCACAGCCATGTTCTCCCTCTAGCTACCTTTATAGTCCACTAAGAAGTAATGGTACGATAATACAAGGTGTTTTCACTAAGGGAATTCTAGGAGCAGGTTATGTATGCAAACAGTAACCATCAGTCCTGTGTGCTAATCCCATCTCTACCAGAGCCAGCACATGGAAGCTTCAACAACAAATCCTGTCAACATTAAAGGACCCTATGGTCACTAAGGTCCTTTTCAGCTACCCATGACAAAACCAGGGATTTCAAGAGACTTCTCTGGTTTCATAAAAAAAGAAGTCATGTGGATGTGACTAGATGTGGCAAGTAGCTTTCTTAGTCTTGAAAGTAAAGAACAAATTCTCCCAACTTCATGCCTGAACAGGAAAAAAAAATTCCCTGGATGAAATTCACTTTGTTCTGGCTGTTCTAGGCTAAATGGAACTGTGTGACCTTTCCCCACACCTCATTCCCATCCACATACTAATACCTGCTTCTAAAACTTTCACACTTACTTTTTGCAAAAAGATGAGAGATGGTTTTTCTGGTATCCTCTGTCCCCTCATATTCCTTCTCTGCAAGCTGCTTGTTGGCAGTCTCCAGACGCTCTGTGGAATTAAGACAATCAACAGAGTCCCATATACAAATTTTCATGCACATGCTGTTGGCCCTTTCAATATTGATCTTGGGCAAAACAAGCCTGCTTCTTCTTGTTACACAAATATGGATAACATAGACATAGGTTTGCAAATGCGGGATCACCAAACAATATTAAACCATGGCAAGAAAAGAGGAGTTAAGTCCTTAACAGTTTCACTCCTTGCTAATAAAACCTAAGTGCAGAATTCTAAATTTCAACAAAAGAATCAATCCTGGAATATATTTTTCATTCACCTGAAGAAAAACATCAGTGGGTTTCAAGATGGCAGTGGACTAGGACAGAGCAGATACCAGTTCCTAGTACAAAAGAGACAGAAACCTATCCGATCGGAGGAGGTGAGGCCAGCAAGCCAGCAGTTGCCAAGCATATATGAAAATAAGAGACCAGAAACCTCATCGGTCACTGAGGAACCAGACGGTAGGGAGACAGCAGCGGTACAGTAGTCTCTGGGACGGAGCAGGGAGAAACAGCCGGTGCAGGGTAGGGGAACCAGCGCCCTGTGGCGAGAGCCCAACGGCTCCTGGGACAGCCTTCAGCGCCCAGATGGCTCCCTCCCTGGGATTTTTCTGCTGGGCAGGCCGAGTGGCCCAAGCAAAGAGGTGTGGAAGAAATTTCAGCCTGCGGGCAATTTGGGGAACTAGTCGCTCCGCTCCACACGCAGTGTGTCTGGGCGGGTGCCTAAGGGCACCTAGGCCAACATTCAGCGCCCGGAAAGCTCCCTCCCTAGGATTTTTGGGCCGGGGACCTGCCAAGTGGCCCAACCAGAGGGGAGCAGAGTAATCTGTTATTTCTTTTAAACTTTATTACTGTTTCATCTTTCCATACTTTTGTCCTCTTTTCCCGGATTTTCTGTTTTATTTCTTTTTCTTTTCTTGTCTTTCTAAACTTATTGCTCTTTCTTCCATTCCCCTACCATTTTTTTCTTTCTTCCTTTTATTTCTTTCCTTATCATTTCTTTCTTTTACCCACAAGAGTCACAATCAACTTGAAAATATGAAAAGACCAGAGCTGGACCCATAGAAGAGGCCTCCCAATAGTAGAGTCAGAGAGACAAATTGCACATTGTTGTAGGAGAGAAGCCACAAGTTGCTGCATATTTGAGTAGGTGGAAGCAGAGAACAACAGGATAACCAAAAGAGGCTGCACCATTGAAATTCACAGGCATTCCACCACAAAAGTTCATACCATAAACCCAGGGTGTCAAAACAGATTAATCTAAGAAGCTGAGGCTAACAAGAAGAGTCTCACAAACAATGGGAAGACAAAGAAACAATCCCCAAATGAAAGGAAAGGAGGAATCCTCAGAAAGAATGTTAGATGAAATAGAGGCAAGTCAACTATCAGATACTGAATTCAAAGCACTGGTTATCAGGAAGTTCAAAGAGCTCACAATCAGCTACCAGAAACTACAGGGAAGCTACAATGATCTCACTGTGAACTATATCAACATGAAAAAGGAAATGGAAATTATTAGCAAGGGCCAAGAGGAAATGAAGAATACAATTTCTGAATTAAAAAACACAGTGGAAAGCATTAAAAATAGGGTGGATGAAACAGAAGATCGGATTAGTGAATTGGAGGACAAAGTAGAAAGCATCTCACAGAAAGAACAGGAAAGGGAAAAGAGGCTCAGAAAGAATGAAGAGAGATTAAGAGAAATGCAAGACAATATGAAACATAATAATATCCGAATAATAGGAATACCAGAAGGAGAAGAAGAAGAACAAGGGATAGAAAACATATTTGAAAGAGTAATGGGAGAAAATTTCCCTAATTTGATAAAAGAAAAAGTCACACAAATCCAGGAATCACACAGAGTCCCATTCAAGAGGAACCCAAAGAGGCCCACCTCAAGACACATCATCATTAAAATGGCAAAATTCCAAGACAAACAGAGAATCTTAAAGGCAGCAAGGGAGAAAAAAGAAATAACATAAAAGGGCGTCCAAATAAGGTTAGCCACTGACTTCTCAATGGAAACACTCCAAGCAAGAAGAGATTGGCAAGAAATATTCCAAGTAATGAGAAACAGAGGCCTACAACCAAGGCTACTTTACCCAGCAAGGCTCTCAATCAAGATAGAAGGCCAAATAAAGAGCTTCCAAGACAAAAGAAGTCTAAAAGAATTTGCTGCCACCAAGCCAGCTCTACAAGAAATACTAAAAGGTCTGCTTTAAGGAAAGGAAGGAAAAGAGACAGACAGAGAGGAACACAGGTACAAAAATGGCAATGAATAAGTACCTATCAATAATAACCTTAAATGTAAATGGATTAAATGCTCCAATCAAAAGACACAGAATAGCGTCATGGATAAGAAAGTATGACCCACACATATGCTGCCTACAAGAGACCCACCTCAGGACAAAAGACCATCACAGACTAAAAGTGAAAGGATGGAAACAAATTTTCCAAGCAAATGGACAAGAAAAAAAGCTGGGGTAGCAATTCTCATATCAGACAAAATAGACTTCAAAAAAAGAGCCATAAAGAGTGACCCAGAAGGTCACTTCATAATACTCAAGGGAAGAATCCACCAAGAAGACATTAACATCATAAATATATATGCACCCAACATAGGAGCACCAAAGTGTATAAGGAAAATCTTAGAGGAATTCAAGAAAGATATAGACAGCAAGACAATTATAGTGGGGAATTTTAACACCCTACTATCAAAAATGAACAGATCTTCCAAACAAAATATCAACAAAGATATTGCGGCATTAAACAACACCCTTGATGAAATGGATCTAACTGATATATACAGAGCTCTTCACCCCAAAGAAGCTAAATACACATTCTTTTTAAATGCACATGGAACATTCTCAAAGATAGACCACATGATAGGGCACAAAACAAGCCTCAACAAATTCAACAATATTGAAATCATACCAAGCATCTTCTCTGACCATAAGGGACTGAAACTGGAAACCAACCCCAAAGGAAAAAACCCAAAACACCCAAAATCATGGAGACTGAATGGTATGCTACTAAACAACGAATGGGTCAAGAATGAAATTAGGGAAGAAATCAAAAAGTTTCTGGAAACAAATGAAAATGATCTCACAACAACCCAAAACTTATGGGATACAACCAAGGCAGTACTGAGAGGGAAGTTTATAGCAATACAGGCCTACCTAAAAAAAACAGGAACATTTCAAACAAATGACCTTATTCTACGCCTGCAAGAACTCGAGGAACAACAACAAAAACAGCCCAAAGCAAGTAGAAGGAAGGAAAAAACTAAGATCAGAGCAGAACTAAATGACATAGAGACTAAAAGTACAATTCTAAAGATCAATGAATCCAGGAGTTGGTTCTTTGAAAAAATAAACAAAATAGACAAGCCTTTAAGTAGGCTCATCAAGAAAAGAAGGGAACGGACACAAATAAACACAATCAGAAATGAAAGAGGAGAGATTACAACTGACAACACAGAAATAGAAAGGATTGTAAGAAATTATTATGAAGAACTGTATGCCAAGAAATTTGAGAACCTAGGGGAAATGGACACATTTCTAGAAAAATACAATCTTCTAAAACTCAGTGAAAAAGAAGGAGAAAATTTAAATACACCAATAACAGCAAAAGAAATTGAAACAGTAATCAAAAAACTCCCATCACACAAAAGCCCCGGACCAGATGGATTCACAGGAGAATTCTACAAAGCATTTAAGGAAGAGCTAACCCCCATTCTTCACAGACTATTCCAAAAAATCCAAAAGGATGGAAAACTCCCTAACTCCTTTTATAAAGCCAGCATCATCCTAATTCCAAAACCAGTTAGAGACACAACAAAGAAAGAAAACTTCAGGCCAATATCGCTGATGAACATAGACACTAAAATGCTCAACAAAATATTGGCAAATCGCATCCAACAATATATCCAAAAGATTATACACCATGACCAAGTGGGATTCATCACAGGGATGCAAGGATGGTTCAACATTCGCAAAACAGTAAATGTAATTCATCACATAAACAAAAGCAAAGACAAAAAACACATGATCATATCAATAGACGCAGAAAAAGCTTTCGATAAGGTACAACACCAATTTATGATAAAAACACTCAGCAAAGTGGGAATAGAGGGAACATTCCTCAATATAATAAAGGCCATTTATGAGAGACCTACAGCCAATATCATACTCAATGGGCAAAACCTAAAAGCTTTTCCACTAAGATCAGGAACAAGACAAGGATGTCCACTTCACCACTTCTATTCAATATAGTATTAGAAGTTTTGGCCACAGCGATCAGGCAGGAAAAGGAAATAAAAGGCATCCAAATAGGAAAGGAGGGAAACAAAACTGTCACTGTTTGCAGATGACATGATAGTGTACATGGAAAATCCTATAGACTCTACCCAAAAACTGCTCAAACTAATTAATGAATTTGGCAGAACAGCAGGATACAAAGTCAATATCCAGAAATCAAAGGCATTTTTGTATACAAACAATGAATCAGCAGAAGCAGAAATCAAGGAAAAAATCCCATTCGACATAGCAAAAAGAAAAATAAAATATCTGGGAATAAACCTAACCAAAGAGGTAAAAGACCTGTATGCAGAAAACTACACAGCACTGAAGAAAGAAATCAGGGAAGACACAAACAAATGGAAACATATACCTTGTTCATGGATTGGAAGAATTAACATCATCAAAATGTCCATACTACCCAAAGCAATATACAGATTCAATGCAATACCTATTCAAGTACCAATGGCGTATTTCACAGACATAGAACAAACACTTCAAAAATGTATATGGAATCATAAACGAGCCCGAATAGCAGCTGCTCTTTTGAGAAAGAAGAACAAAGTAGGAGGGATCACAATACCTGATATCAAACTGTATTACAAAGCCACTGTAATCAAAACAGCCTGGTACTGGCATAAAAACAGGCACATAGACCAATGGAACAGAACAGAGAGCCCAGAAATCAACCTAACCCTCTACAGTCAATTAATATTCGACAAAGGGGGCAGTAACATAAAATGGAGTAAAGATAGCCTCTTCAGCAAGTGGTGTTGGGAGAACTGGACAGCTACGTGCAAAAAAATGAAACTTGAGCACAGACTTACACCATATACCAAAATAAATTCAAGGTGGATAAAAGACTTAAATATAAGCTGTGACACCATTAAAGTCCTAGAGGAGAACATTGGCAAGAAAATCTCAGATATTCCACACAGCAACATTTTTACGGATATGTCCCCTAGAGCAAGGAATATAAAGGAAAGAATAAACAAATGGGATCTCATCAAAATAAAAAGCTTCTGCAGGGCTAAAGAAAACAGTATTAAATTAAAAAGGCAACCAACTGTATGGGAAAACATATTTGCCAATGATACCTCAGATAAAGGTTTAATCTCCAAAATATACAAAGAACTTACACGACTCCACTCTAGGAAGACATCGAACCCAATTAAAAAATGGGAAAAGGACTTGAACAAACACTTCTCTAAAGAGGATATACAGAATATCCAGAGACACATGAAGAGATGCTCAATATCATTAGCTATCAGAGAGATGCAAATTAAAACCACAATGAGATACCACTTTACACCAGTCAGGATGGCTATAATAGACAAAGCAACAAACAACAAATGTTGGAGAGGTTGTGGGGAAAAGGGGACCTTAGTTCACTGTTGGTGGGATTGCAGACTGGTACAACCATTATGGAAAACAGTATGGAATTTTCTCAGAAAAATAAAAATTGACTGGCCTTTTGACCCAGCAATGCCACTGCTAGGATTATACCCCAAGAATCCTAAAACATCAATTTCAAAGAACCTATGCACCACAATGTTCATAGCAGCACAATTTACAACAGCCAAGAGTTGGAAGCAACCTAGGTGCCCATCAGTAAACGAATGGATCAAAAAATGGTGGTACATATACACAATGGAATTCTATGCAGCAGAGAGAAAGAAGGAGCTACTACCTTTTGCAACAACATGGATGGAACTGGAAAGCATTATACTGAGTGAAATAGGCCAGGCATTGAAGGACAAATACCATATGATCTCACCTTTGACAGGAAGCTAAAGAATAAAACAAACAAGCAAACAGAATAAAATCAAAGACACTGAAATAGAGAACAAGTGGGCAAAGACCAGAGTGGAGAGGGAAGGGAACTTAAGGGAAAAAGGGGGGGGGGGATTTTGAGGAACAAGTATGAAAGACACAGAGATGAGGACTGGGGGGGGGGGATGGGAAGGAGGGGGGAGACCGGGCGGGGGGGGTGGGATGGGAGAAATAGATTAAAAAAATGTATTTGAAAAGTAACTAAATAAAATTTAATATTAAAAAAAGAAAAGAAAAACATCAAAGTTATTCATTATAAAGTCTAGGATCATGTAATGTCAAAGCTGCAAGGGGACCACAGGCAGCATCTAGTTCAGATCCTTTATTTTATAGATAAGATAACCTAAATTCAAAGATAGAAAATAATATCCCCAAGGTCAAGATCATCAGTTTTCAAGGGGTTTGAAAGTGTTATTTCTCAACATTTTCAATCTTATTATGTTAAGGTAAAAATACAAGGAGGGAGTCCTAGAAACAATGGAAGATAAGACCAGCCTCTGTAAAACCTATAAAGTAAGAGAGACAGCACCAATTATGGGGGTGAACCAGGTGGGTTCAAATGTCCTAGGTTGGATACCATCTGATTAACACATCAGCTCCTCCCACTTTGATTAAGCAAACTTGGGGCCAAGTACTATTGTAGTCACAAAAATCTGGCCTGGTGTATGCCCTATAATTTACTAATCATACTAGTAGGCCGAACAAACCTAAAAGCTTCAACGTGTGCTCTATAGCCCTTCCATTCACCATCTTGACTTATGCTTCAGAAGTGATGCCCTCACCTCTCAGGTCCCTGTTGAAGTCATGCATTCTCCGAATCTCCCCCTCAAGCTTGTTTCTCATGGCTTTCTCCAGAGCTTCTCTTTTGGAGGATGACTTTACAAGATTCTCATATGCCTCTGAGACATGCTGGATTTCTGTCTCCACCTGAAAAAAAAAGACAAGATAGTGTGAACGGTTGGAGCAATAGGAAAAAAATGGTCTGAAAACACATGCAAATTCTTAATGACAGCTTCACCCAGGGCTTTTTAGATGGCCAGGAGGCAAAACACTGATAAGAAAAGTTTCCCAGAAGGATTTCAAAATTCAACCTTAAGCTCAGTAATTATCTCACTGGGTCAGGACAGTTCCTCAGGTTAAAAACGAATACAGTTTCTGCCTTCAGAGAAGCTGGTAGGAGAGAATAAATTTCATAAGTATAGTTATAAATGATTTTCATACCTGAGTAAGAATTGCTTAATTTTGAAAATAATAATGCATATAGTATGTAATTAATGTTATCCTAGAGCGCTTAAAGGGCTTTCAGATTTATTTTGATTTACCCTGATAGGTGTCTGTGCAAGAATACCTCTCCCCATTTTAGCAGAGAGAAGAGTTACATTGCCTTTCCCAATATGAAGTTAGTGGCAGAAGCAAACCATAGAAACTCTAAGCTTCGGGCTCTTACAGTAGCTCAGTTCAATTTTAAAAATATTTACCAAGGGCCAAATATTTAGAAAAAATCTTTAAGATGCTGTGGGTGTGTAAACATGAGTGAGAACATTATCGTTGCCCTCAAGGAGCTTGTGAGCTAATCAAGTATAAGAATACAGGGAAAGAGACATTATTAAGAAAAGTAGGCATAGTCCTATAAAGTGCAGGAGAGGAAGAGGTTATTCCTAGTTGGGGGGGAAGGGAGAGGAGGACAATTTCAGGGAGGAGGTGGCATTTAGAATCAGATCCTAAGAGCTGCATCAAGTTTCAGTGAGCAGAGGTGAGGGGAAGAGTATTTTATTCTGAATTTGTGAATGCATTCCCAGGATGACCTGTACTCCTGTTTGTCTGAGCACTGTAGGATACACAGGGGGAAGCTGATGAGATCTAGCTGCACAGATAGACTGGAGTCAGACCATAAAACGGCTTTAATGCCAGGCATTTGGACTTTACTCCACAGTTAGTGGGAAACCAGCACAGATTTTTTAACAGAAATGCATGGAGCTGTATTTATGACACTCCTGAAAATCTTGTAAATGGGAGAAAAAATCAAAGGGAAAGAAAAGACTTTGCCCTGAATCAGCCCAAAACAAGAAGAAAATAAGAAATTAGACTCCAAAGTCTTTCTGGAACCAGTATAGTTTTATTGCACATATAATAACCATAGAGATATTTGCATATAATTTGTATAAGACAAATAAACCCCAAGGTCTATTAAGCAATTTTCAGATTAAATTAGATTCTTGCAAACATTATACATTCCCTCTTAGTTTTCCACTATCCTCCTTAAAAAAGCTCAGGGTACTTTATGGGGAGAAATATCAGGCCCCCAGTGGGTTTGCCAAACAACTCAGATTCCAGCTGCCCCGCTCCAAAATTATGCCTGATGCAGGACGACCTGCAAACAAATGAGGCTTACACCGCAGAAAAGAGCAGACTTGAGAGTGTTTTTCTCCTTGCAGATGGAACCAAGATAGCATCACAGAAGAGGAAAACTGATGAATGGCATTTAGCGACATGATCTGCAAGGCTTGAGCCTGATAAAGCTTCTGTGTGAAATTCAAGTGCTGAGTAGAGAAAATAAACATTTCCATTTGAAAGAGCAGCTTGGTGTTGGTCTACTCTGGGCAGCCTTTAGAATACAAGGCTTTCCAGTTCCCCACAGAATGCCACACCTGGAAGGCAGTCCTACTCACATTGTTCAGAGTACTATTTCAAGATCTGTACCAATCCTTTCCCTACCCACCTGTGTAAATACTATACCCTCCCTCCAAAAGGGCAATTTCTACCCCTGTCAACAGAATCTTCCAGTAAAAGAATTCACAGAAGGGACTATCCACTAGTTTGCTTGGCATGATGGTCAGAGCAGGAGAGAAGGAGGGTGGTAGTGAATTTTCAGATTTATTCTGTCTACTTATTTATATCCCTCATAAACTTTGAGCCTCTTTATTTTTTCTAGCTCCATCTAGTATCTACCTTATTATCCCCACTTTCCTTTCCTCTTCTACCTCACCTGTGCCTCTTATCTACTGCAGTACTGGGTTGGCCTTCACTTACTCCAACACTCAAGCTGTTCTAATTACACTTGGTTGAGGCATCTTTCCCCATACTTGGGAAGAAACAACATAAATCCTATTCTGCTCCTCTACCTGTCACCTTTCCTCCCCCCCCAAAAAAAAATTCACCTGAGATCCTTTGGTGAAGAGGACCTATAGACAATCTGGGTCCATCCTTCAGTTATTGCATCAAAGATGTGGCTGGGGTCACCCTAAATAGAAAGTTTGGGGAAGGGTATCAACTGTTAAACCTAATCAGCCAAACTGCGCCAGTGTGCCACTAATGTGTGAATATGATCTATTTAGTGAACCAGTGTGATAGGGGTGATGGGTAGTATAGTTAAAGGAGTCAAGGGAGAAAATTTTAAATTGAGAGAAAAGCCATTGACAAACAGTTCTCATTTAACCCCAACAACCCCCATCCTGATTTGGGAACATTGGAGGTAAGTGTTTTTACTACATAAATATACTTAGCTTATGGTAAGTCCTCCTCTCTCCTTTAGGACCCAGACTTGGTGTTTACAAATTTTCGGCTTCATTCAGACCCCTGAAATTTCCACTTGTGGGTATTTCCTAAGGACAGAGTTGCTGAACAATACCAGGCAACCTTCCCTCCCTCCCCTGCTCTCTCCTCCCTGAACAGTTCACATTGTCTTTGTCTGACATCAAACCACATGGGCTCTACAATGACAAAAGCTGCAAAGAGGCTGCCAAAGGCGTAACCCTATTTACCAACAGCCCCTGGAAGCCAAGAGCTAGGGTTCCTAGCTTAGGGCACTCAAGAGCTAAAAACCCAGCTGCAAGAGACAGGAGGGGCCCAGGAAAAAATGTGACCTGGGGACATTCATTCCTTTTTCTACTTCCTCAGCCTAGGGCTGTCACCTGTCACCCAGCTGTGGTGCTAAGCCCCTCCTCACCCCCACACACACCAGAGAAAGAGAGCAGATGTTGAATTTAAACTGAAAGGGAGGACCAAAGCAAAAAGGAGGATAAAGAAGTGAGTGTTAAAAAACAGTTACCATGGGAACTCCTACTAGGAAAAGTGCTCTAAGCCCTTTGCAGAAAGAGGCAGGGAAGGATCTAACTTCAGTGGCGAGATATTTCTAGGAACTATGGTTTTATATTTACAATTCAAATTCAGCATTTGGGAAAATACAATCAAGACAAAAGTCTTTATGTTGGCATGTCCTTTATATACACAGATATCACCAGTGTTCTTGACCTTATGAAGATGTTTCTTTAACCTACTAGAATTCTAAAACAATCAATTAAGTTTACTCAAGGCTATGGTGTCTGGGAAAACCGTACAAATATGTTTTTTCCTCCACATAAATGTAAAATGTTACTTCTCCCAGAAAGACGGGCAAAGGCATATTCCAAAATTTGATCCATATCTTATCTTGAGATATAAGAATCCTAAAGACCTGCCCATAAGTCTGCAGGCACCCACAAATAGAGACTTTTACATTGATATTAAACATGTAAGATTTAAAGGAGACTCTAACACCCCAACATGAGGAGGGGCTCACCTTCTGCAGTCTTGCCACCTTTTCATAGCATCCTTCCAACTCCTGACGCAAGTTCCGGTTCTCATCTGAGAGGATCTCAACCATCTGCTGGGCTCTGGAAACAATGGCAAAAGGGTCTGCTGGCATTGGCTGATAAGAAGCAGAAGACTGCTGAGCCCTAGGCATAGCTGAATAGGCTTCTGCTGGCTGCTGCTGGTGATGGTGGTGGTGGTGTTGCTGCTGTTGCTGCTGCTGCTGACTCAGGCCTGGCTGGGCGAGGCGGTAATGATCACCCTGGTGAGCCTGATTAGGAAGGAAATGTTGCTGTGGCTTAGGTAGGTGAGCTGAGTGGTCTCCTTGGTTTGGAGCCGATGGATGTTGGGCAGGAGATAATCTAGTGGATGGTGGAGACTGCAGCAAGGACAAGGAACCCCCAGATGTGAGGGAAGAAGTAGGGCTGTGAGGCTGAGAGTTCCTGGCTGACAGCGGCAACGAGATGTCCTGTATTGTCCTGTAAAACATGGAGGGCATGCTAAGGTTAAGCTATCTCTGAAGGTACTGGACGAGAAAGGCACAAGAAAGAGAAATGAAGAGGCTTCCAGTGCCCCCAGGACACCTGCAACATGAACAGAGGGCAGTGTTAGATTAGGACTATGGGATCTCTGCCAAGACCTCTATAATCCTTTCCAGGCCTGACCTTCTGTGACTGCCTGATAGACAAGGACGTCATCCCATGGAGGGCTGAACCAGATGATCTTCAAAGGTTGCTTTGTGAAAATCAAAGTGATGTATTCCTATGCATTCAGTGCTCAAGTTGAGGGATTTTAAATGAGTCTTCTATGGGGTAATTTTTTTCACCTCATTTTAAAGTAAACCTTTTCTGACATTCTACATGTGCTCTGGTACACGTAAAGAGTCAAATTTAGAAAATGTGTTCCACTTGTCCAGAAGGAAAGAATAGCAAAAAGTAGTCAAAACCATCCCACTTTCTTGCTATCTGCAAGTCTCTTCGATAATAAACATTTCCAAAAAAATTACTTGAGGATACATAGATTCTTTTTAGAGATACCAAATAAGTGTTACTGATTACAGTTATTAATAGTTGGCTGATGTCTACTAGTAGTAATAATACCATGGCTTTGAGGGGGTTATATGCAACATTACTATACAATTTTTGATGTACTGAATAAGAAAATATAAGAACTGGAAAGGCCTTGATGAAATGATTTAGGCTAACTCTGTCATTGGACAGTGGGAGAAACAGATGTCCAGAAAGGGGAAACGATCTGTCAAATATTACAGTGAGTTAGTGGTGTGACAGAATAGAACCCTTGTTTCCCAATTCCCATTTCCAGTGTCAATCCACTACCATAATATATTGATTTCCACACATTGATGTTCAGATTGCCAGCTTATTGCTTACAGAAAGTTCCAGAAAGAGAACTTTGGTACATTGTTTAATGCAGCTCTTCCATTTTTATACCTAACACCAGACTACTAGCCATTAAAAGAAACAATCAGAGTATGTGAATGGATCACTTCCACCATCACCACTACCAGGAAGAGTATCTGTCAATATACACTAAGGACAAAAAGCTTATACACCCCACCCAAAGCATGCCCAGTGAACCTCATATACCCCCACATCCTGTGGATGCTTGTACTGTAGTTGACGTATGTCCATCCAGGGAAGACAGATGGCTACGTGCATGGAATTTGGATCCCAACAGTTTAGAGATCTTTTCTACTGCTAACTAGCTGTGTAACATCGCTCAAGTTATTTTATTTGCAAGAGCCTATTTCATTCCTGAGGTTGCAAATGAATTACAAAAATACTGGACTATTCTCATTTTGGACCTGAACAGGAATTACAAAGAGTCTCTTATCTACCTCTCAGTGAGACTGGTTGACCCTGTTAGTGATTTTACTTGTGGGATATCCATTTAATCTTTACACTAAATTGCAAAATTCATGGTGAAACCAGGACAAGTCACCAGGAGCAATTAACTTTTAACTGATATTCCAGATGCTAAAGCACACCTCTCCCATACATATTCAATTATCATTATTGTTCATTTATATATTCCTTGCAAAAGAGTCTCACTATTAGGAATTTTTATAGCTACGAAATCATTCCAAACACTTGCTCATGGATACCCAATTACCTGGATGTTCAACATCCAGCTCAAACCTGCTCAAGTCCTAGATTCTGTCTCTTAGCCCCATCAATGCCTCTGGTGTACCCACATTTTTAAAATTTCATACACGTCACTATAAACAATTACTGAGTTTTGAAGAGGGCATGAGAACTATTTGTGGATAGAAAAAGTTACATGGTACGCATGATTACAACTGGAAAGTTACTACCTTTATATAACCTTTTTCCAAGAGCTCAAAGCACTCATCCAATCAAAAGCCTGGAAGCTGTTTGCAAACTATTTGGGGAAGAGTCTTTCTCCATTTTCCATACTGTGGATCCCTAGTTTCTTTAAAGGTAAAATTGACAATGTGCTCTTCTTCCTCTTCAAGGAAAAGCTAACATTATATATAATAATTAGTGTAATTATATAATAATTATATAATATTATACATAATATAAATCACTTTCAATGGTGATTTTAGTTTTAGGAAAAACCAGAAGGCACAGGGTGCCAAGTCTGGGCTATAGGGGGGCTGAGTTCACGTGGGTGATTCGATGTTTCACCATCAAGAACTCTGCACAAGACATAATGCTTCAGCAGGCACATTGTTGTGATGAAGCTACCAATCACCAGTTGCCCATAGCTGCGGCCTTCTGAATCATCTGAATAGTTTCTGCAGGGGAATATTCAAGCTTAACACAAAATTTGATGCCAATTTGTTGTTCTCCTCGCTCAGTCATTTTGAATGCAACAGTCATACTATACACATGCTCACTTAATAGCATCTACCACCTCCACTGACAAGTACAGTGAAGTTGTCATTGTTCACACATGTCCACGCCAGTCCACTCTTCTCCTCATGTTAAAATGGCTGGACTTTTTCTGGATAGAGATTCTCCCTAGAGATAAATATAATGTCCTAGGATTTGTTGGGGCTTTTGAATAGGTTAGGCAGAAAACAGTGGCTTATATTTCATGGTCTCCAATCTAGTTCTCAAAATTTCAAAATTTAAGGGAAAAAAATGACCATATTAACCTTCATCTTCATTGTCAGAATTTGAAAACCCAAGGCCTGGGAGAGATTCTTTTTTAAAGATTGAATGCCCAGTTCTGAACTGGGCTTTCTCCCCGCCCTCTCCAGCTCCCTTGAGCCCCATCAGCAACCTAGGCCTCTCCTTCAAACAAATGGGCCACTGGTCTCCCTCCTGCCTGGATGCTGAATGGACCCTCCATGCACTGAACAGTTCATAGCCTCCTGGAGAAGACCACAAAATCTGTGGAAAGAGGTGTTCAGAGTCAAATAAGCCCAAAACTGCACTGGCTCTGGCCATGACTCTAGGCACTGCGTAAGAGATAAGTGGAAATAAAGCAGCTACCCCTCAGTTTCACAGACTGGAAAAGGAAGCAGATTTCAGTGCACCATGGTGTTGGGAAAACCAAGACAGTCCATCCCTGGCAGGTTTGCAAACATGAAGCAAGGCTTGGGCAGTTGCAAAGGGAGAGAAAGCCCTCCAGCCAATGAACTCCATCTGGGCTCCAGCAACCGCCCACCACAAAAAAGCAGGACCACATTAACTCTTGTGAAGTTCCCACGTAAGAGGAGAGGACTGAAAAATGGCAGGGGTGGGGGAGAGCTGGGGGGGTGTCAGAGGAGGTAAAAATATAGTCAAGATTAAGTAATAAAAGTAACAATAATAATAAACGTGGTAGCTGGGTTAGCAGCTCACTCCCCAGCACAGCAGCATGAACTCCTGCCCACTGGCATATTAACCAGGAACAAGCCTCCAGCAGACAATAGAATCATATGGTCCCATGGAAGCCCTGACCTGCTTCCCTGTCCCTTCTCTCCCTTCATCTTGCCCCTTCCTAAGACAATGTGGGTCCCTGGTGCTCTGCAGAAAAGGAAAAAAGGGCATATATGCAGGACTGAGGCCAATGGCTATAATCAGCACCCCCCCCCGGGAGCAGGGAGAACTTCCTCCCAGACACGAACAGCTTACAGAGACACAAGAGGGGATAGATAGCAAAGGTACACAAGGGGGGGATAGCAAAGGTAAGTCCACTAAGTTGACATAGCACCTTCCACCCTGCTACACTGACTGAAGGCCCCCACATCCCCAGCCATGCAATCACCCACCCCCACACACATACTACATACTTCTGGCCCACATGTATACAAGCCCTCACACTCTCACCAGAGCAGGTGCCACCAACAGCCTGGAATCCAATTTATTTTCCCTACAGAAATGGGGCCTTTTCCAGGCTCTGTGATAGTAAATATGTGAATCCTGGAGAGGGCCGCAAATTTTTTATTGTTTCTCTTGCACAACCAGCTATGCTCTGAACTGCAGAGTTAGGTTTTCCTTAGATTCCTCTAAACAAGGATTTTAAGAAACGTCATATCTGGGTATGACCTCAACAACTGAAAGGAGGTGGCTGCTTTGCAAACAGACAATACTTAATTTTTAAAGGCAGTTGATAAATGTATAAACCCCAAATGCAGAATAGGCTCAGCAATTAAAAAGACAAAGATTTAGAAAATGCTTAATTCTTCACATGGCTTGGCCTTGTTTCCTATCTGGAAATCTAAGCATTCATGATATTTATTTTTTAAGTGGGGAGGAGGGCATATGGAAGATGAAGTAATAAAAATGTTGTTTATAACATTTTGTTCATTTTAACAGCAAATCTCTAACATTTTACTGCACCTTGAAAGGCAAACAAAAGTTTTTTTGAACAGCACTTTGTTTAAAGAGCTTGCTTTGCATCCATATATGTAATTTGTGGATTAAGAACTGAGAATGTAGATCCTGGCTGGTGTGGTATAGTGGACTGAGTGCTGGACTGTGAAGCCAAGGGTCACCAATTTGATTCCCAATCAGGGTACATGCCTGGGTTGCAGGCCAGGTCCCCAGTGGGGGGGGGGCATGTGAGAGGCAACCAGATATTGATGTTTCTCTCCCTCTCTTTCTCTCTTCCTTCCCCTCTCTCTAAAAATAAATAAATAACACATTTTTTAAAAATAAGAAAATTAAAAACAGAACTAAGAATTTAGTCTTCTAATTATTTCATTCTAGCAGCAGTTACTTGGAAAAGTACTCACAAACTATTAAAGGAAATAAGGAGGACAAATGTATCACCACTTAAAAGTGTACACTTCTGGAATGCAATTCAACTACCTCCCCTTGCCAGTCATTTGTCAATAGGTTCCACTCCCTTGTCCCATGACCTGCAAACATTTTATTGGCAAAATTTGGCTGATGTAGACCCAAACTTCACACAGAGCATCTTTTAAGTTTGAATATTCATCAAACATATCAAGCACCCTATTCTTCTCCCATAGAGAAAAAAAAGAACTTTTAGATCAAAGTTGTGTATTAAAATACTGCTAAAGAGAGTAATGAGCATGGGCTTTACTGCTTTTGCAGATAGAAAAATAGAGCCATAGATAATGTATGAGGGAAGAAAAAAATACAATATCTTCCTGTAAAATAGATGCAGCTAAATTTCTCTGGTGGCTTAACAGCATGGGAAGAAAAAAATTCCTTTTTGGGTTACTTATTATTTATTTAGGTGGATCAAAGGACTTTTCCATCTAGCTTTAAACACTGTGGGAGCCATTTCTGATCATGAACAATACTGGTGACTGAGTTCTGAAAATAGCTTTCCTGGGAAGGGGGGCCATGTGCTGAGTGGGGCTTTGGTTTTTGCTCCACACCCCAGCCAACACACTCCCCTCCCACAAGGCAACAGACATCAGCCCATCCACATACAGTAGGTAGGGAGTCCCAAAAACTCTTCCATACTAATGGGAAGAACAAAACAAAAATCCCAGTTTCATTGACATCTTGCTGGCTTGGACGGGCTTCCACTAAGCTAAGCAATCCAAGAGACCAACCCTTCCCTGGGTCTTCCGTTTCATTGGGCAGGTGGGAATTGGGTTCTTGCTCTCAGTTAAACCAGAATAATCCTGTCCATTACCCCACTTCCTGTTCCAACCCACTTATCAGAACTTAGACTCCTGCTCTTTGAAAGCTGCACAGAGAAGGTTGAAAAAGGGTTAGGAAATGAACCTGAGTTAAGGAAAAAATACCCTAAACTGGAAAAGTTAGGGGTGGAGCCCAAAGTGAATTGCCTCTAGCTAAAAAGCTGTATCTGGAAGGAGAAAATTATGAAACACCAGGAAATGCAGAGGCATGCTGTTACCTGACCTCTACTCTACCCCAGTGACTGCTTTGTCTCCTGAGTCACCCAGTGAAGAATTTCAAGCCAAGAGGCTTTTCCTCAAAAGAATGAGGAGACAGGAAGCAAAGAGCCATCAAAGAGATAACAGGCCTAGTCTAGGGGTCCCTTATGGAAAAAGCCAACCTAGGTCCAGGCACTTCAAATCTCATGGTCACCCATAATTACCCATGGTAAAAGGGCAAAAATACCACATGAGGTCCATCTTTGTTGCCCATGGTTGAAACCTTCCCTCTGTCCCATATACTGACATACTACTAATCACAGACGTGGTCCCAATAGTAACAATCGGAACAATGAATGAAACAATGGAATCTAAAGTCTGGTTGATATAGTTGGTCCTTAAATAAATCAGAAATATACATGAGTAGGCAAAAAAAAGGTTTACAGTTCTAATACAAATGAATAATACAGTAATTAATACATAATAATACACGAATAAACTCCATCTTTCACAAACTCACAGGTATAAGCCTACTTTTGCCCACTCCTATATTTAAGGAGAAATAAATATATGGAACAGTTCAGTACTCCTGAACTAACAGCAAGTGGTACAGAAGTCTTGAGTGTATTTTGCCTTCTATATTTTAGCATATGACCAAAATTTCTATATAATATGATGTAAATTTAAATTAGATATCTAAAAACATAATAGGCAACTAACAAAGTCTCTACAAAAAAAAGATGAAGCAATCCAGACTTCATAAACTAAAAGGAAGTACAAGACAAGCTACATTCTGAACCTACACATGTATAGTTTCCCCACAATAATATCTGGGTGTTTGTTTAGTGCTTAAAAGAATAACAGTAATTCTGCAGAAAGATTTGTTCGCAAAAAATATGTGATGAGAGCTTTGCAGAGGCAAATAAACAGAAGTGACAGGATATTCCAGACAAATTAAAGTCCAGGATAATTTGCTTCTGCTCCTAAAGGAAGGGCTTAATAACTCACAAGATGGAACACTGGCCCTTCTTTCAATATCCTAAGAGATGGAAGAGCAAACAGCTGCTGAAATCATCCACTAGGCAGTTGAGGCTGTACTCAACCTATAAAGTTCAGGGAATGTTAATGCTGTGCTAATTATGAATAGAAATTCAGGTTGGCAGTAAATTTATTAAGTCAGGGGCCAGCCATGCATTGCAGAGTCTGTCATCCCAAACCCCTGCCCATTCTTTCCCTTAAGATTCCTAACACATAGCAGAAGTTGGTTGGAGAGGAGGTGAGAAAACTATAGAAAGGGAACTCTCTTACCTGGTTGCTCCATACTCAGGGGGATGCTGATACCTCATCAGTTGCCCCTCTGTTCGCCCTGGCTGGTTCAAACGATGCTCGCTATAGAAGTGCCCTGGCTCTTGGGGCTTGCACACTACAGACTGGGGTGGCATACCCTTGAAGGGATACTCTGGTGGGGGGCCTCGGTGTTCCATGCCCTTCATGCTATGCTGGCTTGGAGTCAGTGCTTGAGCCTTGTAGAAATCACTGGAACTTGTGGGACTCTTGTAGATGTCATTGGGTTGTGGTGGGGAAAGGGGAGTGCTGGTGACAGGTGGATGGGCCTTAACTCCACTGGTGGCCAGAGACATCTGCATTAGTCGTTCACTCAAAGAGCGGACATGTCCTTGCTTAAGGTCTCTGAGTCCTTCATCTTGGTGCATCTTCCCAGGATGAAGCCGCTGAACTGAGGGGCGTCCCTCAGTCCTCATTTTCTGGTTGGTGACTCCAGTGACATAAAAAGCAGCTCCAACACTGGCATGCTGTTGGCCACGAAAGTACTGGGACTGGACTTTGGCTTCTTCATAGGTCGGGAGTTCTTCATTATTTTGCATCCGAGGGGAAAGCTGCTTCTCCATGATAATGTTTTCTGACTGGATTTCCTGCCCCTGGGGTTCTTGTCTAGCAGGATGTGCCACAAGCTGTTGGTGGTGATCCTGGGAACTCAACACATCATTCTGAGGACATGGATTCCCACTGCCACTGGGGAAAGGAGGGCCATTCCCTGTGGCTTGCTGGTGTATGGCAAGCAGGTTGCGATTCTCACTAGGATTGCCATAGCGAAGCTGCTCTTGTAGCAGGCGCTGCAACACTGTGGTTCCTCCACTTGGCTGTTCTTCAGAATTTCTCATCTCTATTGCTGGTGGTGCCTTGTGTAGAGAGAGAGAAATTGGGCACCTGGGCTGCCCTTGACCTAGGAAGGGGAAACAGGAAGCTTAACACCCAGTTGATGGACAAATCATTCCTCTAAAGGGGAAGAAAATGGGTATTTGGGATGAGGATTCCATTGTAGATACAGAGAATTGATTATCTAAAATTAACAGATTAATTATTTGTGACTCTTGACTCTAGCATTGATATGATAAGGAACTAGGAGGCATAAGCAGCTTTATTTCCTCTTTCACTTTTTAGCATGGGTTAAATATTTAATCTTGATGTAACTCCCGGAGAGGACCAGGAAAGCCTGGGACAGTTAAGTAGAAGAATTAGAGAGAACAAATTCCCTACGTCCTTACTTACACGGTTTATCTCTCTGTATTCTATTTAAGTAAAAAATCCAACTCTTATGGCTGTGGCAGTGGGGGCAGGACAGTAGAGAGAAGTTACCTCGTAGACAGGATCTGTAAAGCAGTTCACTATGTAAAGGAAATTATAAAATGCCAAATAATAACTAATACAAAAAAAAGTGAAGAGAGCTTGGCTTGTACCAGATAGAAATGATCCCTGCTTGATGAAAATAATTTTCTCTGATCTCATAAAGCTCTGAAATACACACGCACACACACACAGAGGAATCTTTTTTTGTACTGTCCATTTTGGATGCTCCTTGGCTTAGTAAGAGAAGGGCTTGGGACAATCATTATTGACAAAGTTTCTCTTTCAACCATCCTGGAATTGTCTTTGGGATGTTGTTGTTGGGTAGGGTGAGTTTAGAGGGAATAGCCCTTTTTCATTTGAACTGTGACTCTGAAAGCATTTAGAAATTAAAACATAAGAAGGTCATCCTTTTGGAAAGAGTATAATTATAATATCCTTTCCATACCACTAATTTTTCTTAAGAAAGCAGTGTGGATCGAGTGAAACATATCAGTAGTAAGACAACTCAAGAATCAAATTCTAAGCATGGCATGGTTTTACAGGATAACCCAAACAATTGATTCCTCCTTTATTGTCTTTTGTCCCCACACCTGAAGATTAGTAGAGTTGACCTCTCACTCTGTCTCTCTCTCCCTCTATATGGTATAGTAGTACACACAAAGTTATTATAAGCTCACAAAGTCTTTGGACACAATCTGTCTCTTGCATTACGTACTGCAATTTCACATTACTGTTCAATAATAAAACTTTCACTCTAAGGATCTTAAGTAGTGTTGGATAATGGACATGATGTCACACAAAAAGTCACAATAAAGGTCAACCTAACCCACCTTCAGGCTCCTTGATGAGAATTCTGGAATTTTGGTTCTAAGGCCCTGGTTTCTATGTTAAATAGCCTCTAGTCTCTCCAGAAACGTGAACCCCTTTCTTTTTTTTTAAATTAATTTTATTTAGTTATTTTTCAAGTACAGTTTTTTTGTCTATTTCTCCCATCCCAGCCTCCCCCCGCCCCTTGCTCCCCACCTCCCTCCCATTTCCACCCCCCTTAGTTCTCGTCCCTGTGTCCTTCCTATTTGTTCCTCCAAATCCCTTCCCCTTTTTCCCCTTAACTTCCCTTCCCTTCTTTCTTTTAATGTTACAAAGATGAGTGACCCAGAAGATGTATATGGTAGATGGAGAGAAGTCATCTGCTCTCTTTTCACACTTCTTGCATGATTACTGCTACCTAGTTTCCAATTATTGGACAGAGTAGTTTGACCCCACAGTTAACCTTCCAAAGGCCCCTTTTAAGTCTCATTAATCCAATTTTGGGGGAAGTGTACACCAAGGGCCTAGCAACCTGCACTCAAGTTCTCTTTTCCTCCCTCCCAGTGACCCATTCAAACTTCTGTATTTAAACTATCAGATTGGGATTTTCTGATAGGCTAACGAGTATAACACATATATCTCTTTTGATGCTAAAAACTGGAAAGATGACTACCAAACCACTTTTCCTTGCTCGAACAATGGAAACATGAGTATGTATGGTTACAAAAAATTCACTTATAAACCCCTCCTGCAAGGCAGGAAAATCCAGACATTGAGCTGCCCCAGACCCTGAAGTAAGTACACCACCCCCTCCCATTTCACACCCAACCCACCCTGCATGCACACAGGCTTGAACACACACACAGGCGTGCGCGCACGCGCGCGCGCGCACACACACACACACACACACACACACACACACCAATGATCCATACCTATTTCTGCTTTCTTTTAGGCGTAAAGCCTTGATCAGGATAGGGAATTCTTGCTTATGAGCAGCTCCAGAAACCGCAACAGCAGATTACCTCTCCCCTAACACTCAGGTTCACGTTAGGTGCCGCCAAAGTCCAACCAGTGGTCACTCTGAAATGTTCAGGAAGGGGAGGGAGGAGAAATAAAAACGTCGTTTCCATTTTGCCACCAATGGCCAACAGTTAAATAAACCAGTCCTTCCAAGGAAATAACTCGTCTTCCCATGTGCTTGTCTTTTATATGAGTGGCAGATTCTATTTCCACCAGGACAAAAAGGAACCTCACTATCTAGCAGTGTGTTCAGAAGACTGGCCAGTTTCCAGGAGGTGGAAATGTGCAGGTCCGAGACTAGAAAGATTGCTCTTTCTAGCCTCAAAGCCAGAAAAAGCTGCTTCTTCATTTGAGTTGGGTTAATGGGTGATGACAGAAGCCACAACCACTGTCACCTTTAGGGTGCAACCTTTAAACTGCTATCAGTGGTAGGACAAGTAAGTGAGGATTAATGCCCCACATCCTAGAAGGAAAGGCAATCATCAAAAGGTAGGTTTTTGGTTAAAGATAAACGCTCAGTGGAACTCCCGATTCAACTGCTACAGTCTCAGATGGGCAGAAGCAACCTCAAACTCCTTTTTAACCAAGTCATTAAGTACCTATTGCACACTGGCTATTCCAGATATATGCCAGCTTCATGCTAAACTCAATGAGGAATACAAAAGACACATAACATATAGTTCCTGCCCTCACAGAGGTTACAATCTGATCAATGGCCCATTCATTCTTACTGGAGTAGCAAAGGCAACTGCCCTTCTCAATGCACAGCAGCAACCCTTGTCCTTCAAGAAGATGCCCCCACTTGCTTTCTCAGCACTTCCACAGCCCCGGTAGCTCTGCAAAAGGAAAAAACTGGATTCACACTAGAGAGATTAGCTGCAAACACCGACCAGATATGGATTTGAGATAGTTCTCATTTCTAAATACTGTTTTTTTCCCTCAGACAAGGCCTGCAGGTCCCACCAAAATATTTATCAAGCAGGCATTTGTGTTTAGGTGGTGTGCACATGATCCACATACTGATTTTCTTCCTGGTTTATGTGTGACTCACTCTTGTCACTTAAAGGAAAAGCTTTTTAAATCTGCACCAGAGACATCATTTATGGAGCAAGGCAATGCAAACAAAGCAAGCATGCATCTCTGTATTTTGAGAGCATGTCCAAAACATCCAAGTTTTTTAAAAAATCCACAAAACCACACAGTGATTAATTTAACATTATTTCCTTGCAGCATTACCAAAAATGAAGTGAACAGATACAGAGTGAGCAAACATGGAAATTTATCTTTCCACCTTGTTTCAGCCCAATGTATAATCACAATCAAAAGCAAAACAGTCTCCAGTCTGCAAGGTAATTATTTGGGGGTGTCTTCCCTAATTTCAAAGAGAGGAACTTGTAATTGGAATCAAAGCTGGACTGTTGACACAGCTATGGTAAATAACCACTGTGCTTCTATTGTCCAATTCTAAACAAAAGTTGTCTTTTTCTTTAACTGAAACATGCAGAAAACAGCCCAAGTCTTTTAAACTAGAACCCCTGGATAAAAACTACCATATAATTCTTTGCCAGTACTATTTAGATTCTTCAAGCCAATCTTGACAGGCTTGCTCCTGATGCCTAGCTCCTCACCAAGAAAACTTTACTTGTCCAAAGTCTTACTCTCTTCCCTTAATTTTATCCTCTGTCTTTCATATCCTTTTGAAAACCCAAATAATTTTATGTCAATCAGACACAGATTGTCCCTCCCCATTACCCCACCCCCTGGCCTTTTTTGTTTTTGTTTAAAAGCGGAAAAGAACTCAGCCTAAGGGGAAAAAAGCTTTGATTTCTCTCCAGTTTGCTGATATTTTTTCTTAAAGAACTTATGTTAATCTACACGTTAAAAGTAACAAAAAAAGGAACACACTACCCCATTTATTTATTAGAGAAATGAAAGGAAAATATTCCTGTTCTCACGTGCAAGAAATAAAGTAGTATGAACTCTGCAACCTTTAATCTGTCCACAGCTTTAATCACACCAACTGCTAGGGGTCTGACATAATCTTCAATCAATAAAATAACCTTGCTTCTCCTGGACACACTATTTCTAAGGATATTTGATAGAAGAAGAAAGGATACCTGTGGTTTTCTCTTTAAAAATGCAATTTGAGTCTATATATTCAATACTTCCGTAATAAAAACAGGGCAAAAAGGCCCAACTAAATTCTCACTCCATTTGCATTCATTGGCCTCTTCCAGTATACCTGGGAGATTGAGCCTGTACACATTAGTGAGAGCCCAAAGTTTTCCAAGCCAAGGCCCAGGAAATCAACATTACAAGGTGGCCAGGGCAGACCAAATTCCCACCCTTCAAATAAATTTTGAAATATGCCTATAAGACCTTCTCTCTACCCCTTCTATCTCCTGCTCCTATTCTGCCCCTGTCCCACACTCCACCAACCAGGATGAAGAATCTAGGAAACCTGTTTCTCTGCTAAACCTTGGTCAATTTATTCAAACAATTTTACTTCCAGCTAAATGGAAAGAAGCCAGTTCAAAATGTTCCCTATATCTGCATGTATGTACATGTGCATAACACACACACACACACACACACACACACAAACTTCCCACACACACAAAAAAGGCAAAATGGCCCACTGAATTCTCTCATGTTCTCTGAGATCGGTCTAATATTGTGGTCTGAAGTGTCCTAGGGAATAGCTTTCCCAATAGTCTTGCAACTCAAGATACTAATTCACTTCCTTTGAGAGGTAAGAAACAATGGTCTATCTGCAGGTTATCCCTAAACTTTCAGTGGGTAATGGGCAGGCAGTATAAGTACCATGGTGAAGAGCCTGGGCCCAGAGTTACCCTGTCCAAGTTGAAATCCTGAATGTATGGCTTACTAACAGATCTCATACGTGTCTCTTGATGTCCTCAAGCCTCAAATCTCACCATCTGCAAAATAGGGATAATGGTGCTCATATCTCACTAAAGTTTTTATAAAGCTGAAGTCAGATGATCCCTGTAAAGTGTAAACACAGAGCTTGGTACGAAGTAAAGGCTCAATAAAAGTTAGCTATTAATATTATTATTTCAAGGTAGCTTTTTTCTAGAAGGCTGCAGCAATTTTATAAAGTAAAGTTGTTTTTGTAAAACCTTTATTTGCAACTCAGCTTGTATGCAGAGGTTCTTAAGTTGGATGTTCAAACAAGAAAAACTTTTGGAAGACCCTTTTTATAAATGAAGATGCCAGAGCTTAAAAGTGGTCAGAGCTATGGCTAGAATACAGGTTTTATTATTCCTAGGAGAATAATACTTCCACTAAAATACAGGGTCTGGTACAAATAATGCCCCTTTTTAACTACAAAATGTTTTATTACAAAATCATAAACATGTAGTTATGTAACAAACAATATCACACTCAAGCACAACATGACATTTTAGGTGAAATGTTCAAATTGTGTGAGAGATTCACATACCCTACCAACCATACTTAAGCAAGCCTTACTTCTGCCAGACCCTGTTTATAATATATAATATTAGCTTACACATAGGAGATGCTTAATAAATATTTATTAAATTGAATTGACTCTAATTTTAAGAGACTATGAACCTGGCTTAATGATACCACCAATTTTTCAATTCAATTGGAAGTAAAATGACAATGGCAGTGGGGGAAATCCAAATAGGTAAGAGGGATATGTTTAGTAAGAAGTGTGGCAGAAAGACTTTACACAGTCTCTTCTTTTTAGATGAGGATATACAGATAGGTCAGAGAGTAACAGGAACCTCCACTGATCAATGTTTCCAGGCCCCGGTTCTAGGTCTAGTCAATATTATAACAACTTGGTCTTACCTCTTATTTAAGTCTAACACTAGTTTAAGAAAAAGCTTTGAGTCAGCCTCATCTCTTTGCTCCTATCTCTACCTCAATCTAGATTAGGTTAGAAATTTATTTTAAGAACCACAGTAAGGCCTTGGCATTTCCAAATATTATTGAGGATCAGTGTCACTTATCTGTTTCTGTGATGGCAACTCAAAGGTGTGCTCAATTTGGTCCCAGTTTTACTTTTCTGTATTATAAAGCAATTAAGCTAACATGTTAAAAGTCAACAAAATTGACTAACCCTAAAATGTACATGAGCAGAAAAATACTGGGTGACCAGAAAAATACTGTTGCTACCAGCCCTCCACCTCCCTCCCCACACATCAATTCGAAGGAAGGAATAAATAGAACAAGCGATCACATCCCATTTCTTCTTGCCTCAGAAAGGGTATAAACAGTCCATGAAATAAGATTGAGCAAAAACTGAGAAAAGTTTCAGAATATACCTAGAAGCTGTCTGCTTTACCAATATCCTATCTTTAATGGCATACTACCCACTTTTATTTTTACCTTATTTTATAAGTAATATATGCATATTATGCAAATACTTATAACAAAGAAAAATCATTCATAATCTTAACAACTAAAGCCAAACTTTGTTAACATAGAATATTTCCTTTAGCTTTTTTCTTTGTGCGTGTCTTTGCAAAACAATAAAATATGAATGTACATATAACTTTGGATCCTACATTTCACTTTATTATAAGCACCTTCTCCATGCTGGGGCATGAACTTCATAACAAACATTGCAATGACTGCGTAATAGTCCATTAAATGAGTGCATCAAGATTCACTTACCTATTTTCCAGTTATTCAGACATTTAAACTGCTTTTAATTTTGTCCCAATCTAAATAATGTTGCAAAAACATCTTTGTGATTTAGTCTTTTTCAATATTCTGTATTGATTCCTAATGATAAAATCCCAAAAGTAAAATTAACGAGTCAAGGAGCATGAATGTTTTTTACCCACTAAAAAAGTAAACCCACTAAAAATCCACTAAACCCACTAAAAAGGTAAAACAGCATAACACCAAAGCCCCATGAAATCTTTCCTTCACTTAATAAAAAATTATCCTCCTCCCATTTTTCCACCACAGCAAAGCAGAAGTTCTGGGAAGGTAAAGAGCCAAGAGAAGCAGTGTAGTATACCAGTGGCTTTCAAAATGGCAGAGTGGAATGTGGGCTCCCTTGTGAATCCAGCTTTCGTACACTTGCCCCAAATTTCCACCCAGCCAAGAAGCTAATTAGTAAAAGCATCAGGGGGGTGAGAACAGGTTCATGGCCTCTCCTTCTGGAGAGGCCTGTAATAACTTATCTCATGTTTCTTTTTGTCTTCAGAATGAATGATCTGAGAGTCAGTTTGAAGACATTCATTCAATTCTATTCACCCAACCTGCTAAAGTCTTAGAATTAAATTGATTAAATTGGTTAGTTTTCAGATACCAATATCCGATACACTTTAAAGGACAACATGCTATATAGATCTAAGTATACATAAGCAATGAGTCTGTGTACCTCTGTTTTCAGTCACAGTTAAGGAGGCACATTTAAGGTCAGCACAATTTAATATTATATGGCTAAGTGGCACCTGTCTTAAATGGTCATGTGTTATAGACAGAGGCTTATTTGCACACTCAACCATAAAAGTAATTTAGTCCTTCACTTGGCATAATGCTTTCTAGTTCCATCTATGAAATAAGCCAGGTGGTAAAAGACAAATACCATATGATCTCACCTTTAATGGGAACCTAAACAACAAAACAAATAAACAAGCAAAATATAACCAAAGACACTGAAATTGAGAACAGGCTGACAGTGACCAGAGGGCAGACCGGGGCAAATTTCAGGGGAATTTCCTGTAGGGTTTACAGGAACAAGTATAAAGGACACATGGACAAAAACTGGGGGGAGTAGAAATGGGAGGGAGGTGGGGATGGGTGGGTGGGCTGGGATGGGACTAAAAGTAGAAAACTGTATTTGAACAACAATTAAAAGAAAATTTAAAAAAAGGAAGGGCAATCTTAAAAAAAAAGTCATCTTGTCCTAAGGCAGGGGCGGAAACAGTCCAGAGATGCCTTAGCAAGAGTAGACACAATAGGCATTTCTTTCCCAGGCTGCTCAGTGAGAATTCTCAGAATAGGACAGTGCTTTCCACCTTCTCCTTTAAGGTTTTTCCCTAGTCCTCCTTAATCATCCCCCTGTTCCCACCTCCGCTCAACATGGAAAACTAATTCTCTCTCCTCAGTGTTTCTACTGGAGTTTATATACATCTCTATTAGAGCACTTATCATACCTTATTTTCTACAAACATTTATCAAGCACTTAACTATATAGCCAGACACTGTACAGGTCCTGGGGTAGATTAAAAAAAAAAAAGAAAGAAATAACAGAGTCCAGTCCTCAAGGAGCTCCCAGTCAAGCAGTGGGGCAGGATCCAACAGGAAACCAGAGGTATGAGCAGATTGCTCTGGCAACACAGAGAACCCTGCAAAAACTATGAGCCACCTAAGCAAAGGTTCTCAGAGGAAAGGACCTATGAGCTGAGTAAGAGACACGGTAACTGATAACCAAGTTAATGTTGGGGAACATGGAAAGGGAGCATCAAAGATAGGTTGAGATATATTTTAGAGAGTGATTGGCATATGAGTAACAGCTAAGGTCAAAGAGTGGGCTGGACCACATAGAGCAGGAACAGAATAGAACCAAAGAGGAATTTAGGTTGGGACCCTGAAAATAAGTGAGCATAAGTTAGATACTTCACAAGTGTGAGAGTGAGAGAGAAATTCCTTTATTTACGCATGGCTCTCCCCCGGCACCCCTTCCCCTTATACCTTCTATCTAGACCTTGAGATACACTGCTCCAGGAATGAAAGTTCACAGTTGGACTACAGAAAGGTAAAAGAAGTTAATTCTTATCCTTTAAGCTTCTAAGTACCCAGGCAGAAATCACTGCAATAGTTTGATCCAGAAATGAAGTTGCTAGACTACAAGATCTTAGAAAGCATGGGTTGAATGAAAGTTTTTATCTGTCATTCCCAACACCCAGAACTTTAATTGGTACATAAAATATGCTTAATAATTGCATACTGAGTAAATAACAACTTCCCAAAGACTTTGCTAGAGTCAACAGAAGAGAAGAAAAGGAATGAAAGTCGTATAATAGCAATAACAATAATAGCATTACCTTTACTTTCTCAGTCTTTCTTCTAAGACAAAATATCTTTCACTTCTGTTATTTTATTTGTCCTTCACAGCAGCTCTGTGAGAAAATAAAGGCAGATGTGATTAATTCCATTTTACAACTGCCAAAGCTTAAGTCCAGGGCAGATAGCTAATGATACCTAATTTGACCAAGGTTTCACCATGGCTCACTGGTGGGGCCAGAATAAGAATTCGTGTCTTATGACTTCCTATCCTGTGCTGGCTTATTTGACACAAACCTCTACAGAACTGACTCTCCAGTATTTAAGAGGACAGTTCACCAGATAAATTCATTAGGAAAACAGATTTCCTCCGGACTCCAACAGTACCACGAACAAGTTAGTGGACTGCACCTAGAAGAAAATATCCCCTTACCAACACTGGAACAGCTAAGTATAATTTGCAGCGGTACTCCTCTAACACAATTGGGAGCTCCCTGTTTTGCTGTACCCCTTTAGAAGGGAGCCCCATCTGCCTTCAGTCTGGTTTTTGTGGCTGAGTGAGGCTCAGGTACTGACTTCAGGAGTGGTATTCAGCAGGTGCAGGGACAGGAGGCGACATTTCATATCTTCATACCAAAGGGCCTGAGTCACTCCCTAATGTCAGCCCCTCCTCCTCGCCCTGACTTGCAAGCCCTAAGAACCTGTCTTGACTGAGTTGCCATTGCAAACAAAACTAATCTAGACCCTGCTTTCCCAGAAAAGACTAGAGTAAAATCAATTAAACTACAAGTAATATAACCCAGCCAAACTGACCACTCTCCAAAACTCTAGTGCAGACATATGCTGCACGTATAGCATCAGGGAATATACGTACAGAATGACTGGCCTCTACTATTTTGGGGGGAAAGTGAGCATCACGGCATATCCACATTACATATTTAGCTACTGAGCACTTATTCTATTTCAAATGGCCCTGAAACCTCAGGAGCAAGCATTCACTCACTTTAAACAGGTGGAGTACAAAAGAAATAACATGCTAGGAATCCCGCGCTCCAGTTCCCATCACTCTCCTTCAGGCTCCCAAGGGATAACTACTACAAGTACCATGTCAGAAAAGTCATCATGTTGACCTAATGGAAGCCTAACTGAGAGCCCAAGGCAAATAAAATGTTCTTGGGGGTAAAGGGGGTGTCATCAGAATTTTCTTAGCTCCAAAAATTGTTTGCTTTAAAAAAATTTGCCTCTCCCAAACACATACACACAGAGCAAACACAAACTAACTGTAGAAGAAAAAACAAAAATAAATATTACCTTAATGAAATCGTTTGTTGTCATTTATCGTATTTCTCCAACTCATAGGGGAAACTCAAATTAATAAGCTTTGGTTTACACTCCATGATCAAGAAAGTAAACCTGGCTACTAAACTGAAATGTGATCATAGTATATAAACAGATTGAAACAAAAATCTGAACTAAAAACATAATGTAATAATGAGAAAATTAGATTTCTTCAATATAGGTAATTTAACTAATTTCCCCACCTGTGATTTTTATCTCAGTTTCCTATCACATGAAAAATGTTATTAATTCAATGCAAATACATGGCTCTTAAAAACAACCCAAATGATTAAGTAATATACTAATTAGCTTCCTAACAGGGAAGGTTTTAATTGAACTATTCTATTATAACCTTCATCAAAGTTTCCAGGGCAACTTCACAAAAGGATGTCAAACCTGGCCCATATTTTTTATGCCCTTAAAAATAATTCTCAGTGCACAGAAACACAAAAAGCTTATTTCTTTTCAATGCTGTTAACACTCAGGCCACTAAATTTTCTGATGTCAGCAATCCCCTTCCCACAAATATTCCAAGTATGCAGAACCGTCATTCTCCTTTCAATTATGTGGTTTCTCTGCTCCTTTACTGATTGAGTCCAGGCCTCTCGGATAATGAAAAGCATGTGCAGGGAAAATGTGCTCTTAAAAAACACATACATCAGTTTAATCTGCATTATGAAGGGAGGGGAGATCATTTGTCCATATCAAAAGGATCAAAATGTAAAGGTTGCTATGAGTTATACAAAGAAAAAAAAGATTGGTATGATTGCCTAAACTTGGGGGGCAGTTATTGTGATCTGAAGCAACACCAATATGAATAAGAGAGACCCCTAAAACACGCCCTTTGCAGCTTGGCCACATTTATATTTAATGTTATCTTAATGTTGCTTTGGGGGGTATTTAAGTCCTGACATACACATGGAAATGAGCCACAAATTATACAGCAAGCATAAATATTCCATTATTAATAAAAACCAGCTGTGTATAAAACACAATGGCTGGGTTTCAGTTACTGGCTATCATCAGTATGTGTCACAAGCAAATATTACTCAAAACTTTCTCCTTTAAAACACACACACACACACACACACACTTACACATAAATATGCTTTACTCTTTTTAATCTTCTGGAAGAGCTTTGAAGAACTCATTAAACTTTATGGCTCATTCCAACTAATGTCTCTTTTGTAAGCTATTTTTTATCACTTTGGGAGATGTTAGAGTCCTCTTACTAGAACTTCAACTTACCACATAGGATGAAATGTTTCATTATTTTAAGAACCAAGAGGGTCAATAATACAAATAATGATACAACCAATGATAGTCAATAAGGCAATGAAGCAAAGGACACTGTAAGAGAGCAAATCTTATTAAAAGTCAACACCTGCTCAGGACCCTATAATAAGCATGCTCTACCATCATGCAAACACCTTTCTTCCAAAGACCTCAAAGCTTGTACCCAATATGAACCATGCCTAAACAATTAATATCCTTGCTTCCCAGGGTAGCTACTCAGGGTAGCTAATTCATTTACCCTGGCTCACATGGAAAATCAGAGAGGGTTGGGCAGAGAAACCAGATACTAACTTCAAGTCACACAGTGTAATGATATTTTAATAGTGAAAGTGACTTTACAAATGTGAAGGACAGTAAAAAGAGTTGAAAATCTACCAAAAAGTAGATTTTCAAAAATTATCTTAGGAGATACTGGCAAATATATCCATCTGCATTTCCCCATGAACACATATTATAAAAAACGTTCCTGTACTGAAGTTTGTACTAAGTACTAAAAATCCATACTTTATCTTCCTACTCTAATTTAAGAAGTTTAATCCAATTTATAATGAACCACTGGTTTCCAAAATTGAGTCCATCAAAAATTGAAGATCATATGTATAATTTTACTATCAAAGGAAAATTAAAGGACCCTGTAACTGAACTTCCACTATATGGTAAATGTCTCAAACGAAGAACCCATTAAAGTGTGTTATCTTACAACACCTACATCTCTATTTAATTGTGTATAATCCTTAGTTTCCTTACTACTTTTTTTGTGCAATTTAAATGTATTGTTTTCAAAGCTGTAAACTCTGTGTGTTCTTGCTTTGCTTTTCTCATTTGGGAGATTTCATAGTCTACACAAATTTGTACCCTCTTGATAGGATATCATGATACCGTGATTTGAGGATCATTGCTAGTGACTTAGACAAAGCAAACTGAACCCTCATTTGCTTTTTGCTTAAAAAGAATGATGGAGGGGTGACGGGAGGTGAAGAAAGTACAATAGCCCTGCTAGCTACATGATCACACCTAGCCTCTCCTGGCATTCGAGAAACAAACATATGTGATTCATCATGTAAATTCAGTCAGGCTCTGACTTCATGCCTCCACACAGGTTTACAAAGATAAGTCTTAGGTGGTCACCTATTTAAAAGCAACAGTGGACATTTCTAAGACTGTATGTAAAATCCACATAAGTTCAGAAAAAAGGACTGAAAGGAACTAGAAAAAATGAAAACAGGTGATCTGTTACGATAACGGCATTCTTGATGAAGTTTTGGGCAGGGTCTTAGCTTTTTAATTAGATATGTTGTTCAAATAAAAAACAGAATGCATTTATATAGATATATCATTCCAGACTTTTAAAGATATCCAGATGACTACATGATTGTATTTCTTACAACCATTGCACCCCATTCTAGTAGGAATCATTCATATTCACACCAGAAACCAAGGCCTAGAAAGAAAACCATAAACTTCTGAGAACTGGTTATCAGAATCACCCTGCCCGACCCTCACAATTCACAGAGGAAGAAATTTGCTAAGGGTGGTAAACGGAGTAGCTTCTTAGATTTAAGTTGCTGTTATTTACCTAAAGCAATTTTCTGTGTCCTTGGGTTAGTCAAATACAATAACAGAAATTAAAATATTTTACATATATGGTGTAGACCATACCATTATTACCATTACCAAAATCTGTGAAATCTGATTTATTTAGAGAAAGTCATACTAGCTCCCTTCTACAAGTGGTTGTAGGCTAGGACTAAATGTGGCCAGCATTATTAGAGGCCAAAATGATTCAGACAATTAATTCCATCCCATGCAACAAAAACGTTTCAAAGGACAACTAATAGCCTCACTTAACTCAAACAAAATCATTACAACAAAATTCTAATGTCTTCTAATGTTTTCTGTTCTGCAATAAATGTTTCTGAGAAGGCTCAGTTATAGTGAATTTTTATATATCAAGTAATAGCACAAAGGCACTAAACAGGAAAGCTAGTTCTTTCAAAGAAACCTGTAGTAATTTTTTATAAAACAAATGACCTCCTATTTTCCATTTTTAAGGCCAGATTTTGTGTGTTGTGAGTGAAGAGAGCAACTTTCCTCTTTTCTTTAGTTTAAAGGGGTTCCAAAACCCACCACAAAGCACAGTAATACTGTATGAACAGTCTGTTTAATGCACTCTTTGTTCCTGAGACCGAATTCTAAGCCTTGACTTGGGGGTAGGAGCCTAGAATTTAGAACCAAGTCTACAAAAGGCAGCAAGGAATAAAGAAGTAAGTAAGACTAAAGACATCATCTCATAGTAATAAACCAACAACAAAAATTCTTTGGGACAGGAAATCAATGGGGCACAATTCTAAACAAGTTGGTTCAGTCCCAAGCTAATTAACTTGTCAAGCAGATCTTCAAACCCACTGAATCCATGGGGATAAGAGGTGATATAATAGGAGATTTGGTAACATTTACCAATTTACTATCCTAAAAGGCTCAGTCATGGACACACATACCTCTCTCCACCCTTTTCAGTGGTTTTAAGCTGGGCTTAATGGGTGCAAAGGACAATGTCTTCCAGACTGTCCCTAAAAATAGGCTGTTCTCCTGCATTCCAAATGCTTAGCCTCCAGGGAACAGGCTACCTGGCCATAGGCATTTCCAAAGAGGAAATATATCCTCTATTCCTCCTCATTGGTAAACACCCCCTCAACCAACCAAAGAACTTCTAATCATCCTGAGAATTTGGGAGAAAGAAAAAAGAAATCTTAAAAGGGAAATAGAAGAGTGTGAAAAACTCCTCTTGCCTCCAAATGGAAAAAAACACATTAAAAAGCTGGATCAAAGGAAGAAAGGGGGATGGGGGAAGACTGCTTAATTACAAAGACACCCTTTTAAAGAAGGCACAGGCCCTGGGAGAGCTCTTAGGAGAGGCACAGAAGCAGATGTACCTACTTAGAATTCTGGCACTCAATGGGATCTCAAGGTCATAGTATCCATCCCTCTGCTTTCTGAATAGATTGTTCTTAAGGCATTCTAGAAAGACTCTGATTCATTCTTCACAAAACTTCACATAATGTAACTCCACAAGATTCCTTGGTTGTCTATCAGTCTAATAAATCCTATTTCATAAACCAGAAATGAGATTTCAATTTCCAAATTTGAAAGAGTACTGAATATGATTTTTAAAATTCCCTTCTAAAAATTTTTAAGTAAGTAAACAGATCCACAACTTTCACATAAAAAACGTTTGACCAAGCATGGTCAAACATTTACTTCATATCTAGAGTATGAAGTTAGGAAAAGCACTTTCAATTTTAGAGAACCAGTCTTTTTTGAAGAAATAAGTATCTTAAAATGAAGTATGATGTAGGGCCACAGTCTGTAAATGGCACGGCATGAACCCATACAAAATAGCTGGAACCTGAGTTATAATCTGTAAATAGATGCAACTACTCTACAACCACCTGGCTATTAAAATGTCCCAGGACAGTTATAAAATATAGTTTGGTCTGGCCAACTTATCCCTCTCAGCTGATCTGAAACATGATAACCTTTAAAATTGTCACCCTGTAAGGTTCCTTCTCTCCCTTCCTTCTTTCCTTTCCCCCATTAAAATCAACCAATGAAATTATTTTAAGATATAAGTCAATAATTTGTTTCCAAGTAAGCAATGTGGTTGTAAACATCTTGGTAACAGGTCTTTGAACACCACAATTCTTGTAAGTCAGCCATGCTTACTCAAGTGGAGAGAGGCAAAAGATGGGTGAAGATTTACTCCTCATCCAAAATGGCATCTCAAATTATTCTTAGCTGCTAAATGAGGGTGCTGAAAGGTGGCTTCAGAAAGGCTGGCTTGAGAAAGTAGTATTCACAAGCCTAGTTCAAGAATACTTAAATAACCTTAGTCCTCCATTATTGAAGATTATGGTGATTATCTTCCTCTCTGAATGGGAGAAGAGGGTTATAGTTTTAAAAAAAAAGTTTTAAAATGCCTCCCAACTTCCACTCTTCATGGTGGGGCAGAAGGGAGAGGGAAGAAGAACAAATTAGACACTCCAAGGTGTCAGAAAATTCTTTCTAAAATACATGCTAGAGATTAGAAATGCTGTTTCTCACAAACTTTCCCCTTCCTCTCTCATTTGATTGTATTTCATCCCTTACTGTAAATTATTGTAATATTATTAGTGGTAATTTACCAGGGATTACTCACAATCTACAAAGACTGTCACTGTCCCTTCTCTTCATTTTCATATATGGACAAATCCATGTTGCTGCTCAAGCACCAAAATACAGTGACCCAGGCTTGGAACCCTGAAGACACGTGCACAATCCCTCAAAACTAGTCACCAACATATAAGGCAGATAAGAGGCAACCTCTTCCTCACCAACACACACACACACACACACACACACACACACACACACACACACGAGTGTTATTGTAGATTACTCCCAGACTTTAAGACTTCAGGAATTCAGGGCCCCCAGGGGATGGGAGTGTGAGCCCCCACCCCAGCCCCAAGCATTTAGGAGGAATGCATCAAGAAATCTGAGATAAGCACGGACTTTCCTGCTGAGCTAAATGGAGATTTCAAGTTCCCTTAGGTTTTTAATTTCTTTTGTGCTTCATAACCTATAGACCTACCTTCCTACAAGAACCCCAGGAGACAAGAAAGTAAAAGTACCATCAAGTTGTGGTACCCACTAGCATCTCCATCGGACGAGAAAGGGACACTCATTTTTAACCAATTTAACTTGCTGCACATCTCGGAAAACTCAAGGCCGGCTGCAAAGAAAGTATAAAACATGGGTATCCCCACATGCTTGTAGATCGACTCATGCCGAGGGCAAATCGAGTTCATGCCACCATGGATCCTGCCCCAGTTCCCCACAAAAATTAACCACGAGTCTCCTACCCCTGAAAGCAACGAAGACAAGCTGACGAGTCTGGTTCGAGTGGCTTCGTTCCTGGGCCAAAGGCCAGGGATGAGCTGGGGGGAAGCCCCAACTCCCGGCTGCTCCTCTCCTCGCTGCTCTCTACGGGCTCTTCTTGGTGGCGGTGGACAGGCAGGATACCGGGCCAGAGGGCGGAGCAGCGGACGGTAGGAGGCAAGACAGACTGGAGGTAGGGGTGAAAGGGGCAGTAAGAACCAAGAGAAGATGAAGCAAAAGAGAGAGGAGATGGAGGAATAAATCAGGGACAACCAGCTCGGGCAGTCAGAAATCACCTCAGAAGGAAGGGGCGTGACTGCGATGAAGACAGCTCCAGGGCAAAGGATAGGAGGTAGGGAAGGGGAACGCAGGAGTGGCTTTTCTTCAAGCGGTGAGCGGCTGGAACCTCCCAGGAGCAGGAGGCTGGGAAGGGGAAGCAGGGGATGGACCATGAAAGGGGCGGAGTGGGGGGGGGCGGAGAAAAAAGGGAGGGAGCATGCTTGGACCCAGGAGCAGGAGGGAGGTGGGTAGGAGGGGAAGGAAGAGAGGCGGGGCCTGAGGGCGGGGAAGTGTCAAATAAACGGCGGGGTCCCGCCCCTTCGGCGAGGACTCTGGGCCCTCGCTCTAATCGTATTAACGTGGCACCATTCTGTTTCAGTCTATGCGAGGACTGGCTGGAAGGAAGGAAAGGGTTTTGCAAGACAACAATAATGATCTACAGCAACAGCGAAGCAGAGTCGCGTGGGAGAGCCAGTACAGCTCCTCACCCCACAGCAGGAGGAAGGGAAAAAAATAGAAATGCCGAAAAGTAGCTTCTCGCAAAGCTTACTTAAAATATGCGGAAAGGAGCAGCACTCCACTCTTTCGTTTTCCTTCCTCTCTTCCTACGGCCAGCAGCTCCCCACCCAGGTCGCAGCATTGGAAGACACCCTCTTTTCTTCCTCCCCACCCTATCTCCCACCACCCCACATCCCCGCCCCCTCCCAGTGGCGGGCTGCGCTAACGGCGGGGATGGCGTGGGAGGAACTCTGGGGAGTCTCAGCCTCTTGGAAGGGCTAGGACATCCGACCTGGGTGCAGCGAGCGGAGTGTAAGCCCCACCCACCATTTTCTGCAACTACCGGTTGGTGCAGCCTGGCCTAGGATTTGCTTGCAATTGGTCGCATCCGCCATGGATCCAATCCTTTTTTCCCACCCGCCCTCAAAATTAATGAAACCAAACAAAAGGCTATTGTCTAGCTCTCCGTTGACCCCCAGCTACAGCTGAGAAGAGAAAGATGAGGCTTTTGACTTCTCAGTCTTCTAAGAGAGTTTGTCGGCCGGCTCCAGTACACCTTTATAGCATTGCCCTGCCCTCTGGGCATAGCTTAACTTTTGTTTCCCTTTTATTTATTAAGCCATGAGGGGGGAAAGTACGTGAAGTGTCATCACATTTCCAGACAGCGAAAAAATTGATAATGCTTAAAAACACAAGGTTAAGAACATCATCCTGGGACACTTAAAATCAACCATTTTACATGTGTGAAATGCAAGCACAAGGAAACAGTGCAAGGGTAGTAAATAGAAACATGTCGAGTAACATGGAATTTGGAAGTAAAGAACTCATATAGGACTAGCACTTATCAGCCAGTTGTGCGACTTTTAAGTTGCTTAACGTCTCTGAACCTTAATTTTCCTATGTAAATAAAGGCTGTAAGATATACCCTTCTTAACTCAATGGCACTGGTATATAAAAATAAAACGAATAGTGCGTGAAACCTCTTTAAATCACAAAGCACCTCACGCCCATTTGTGTTTCAACTTGTGCATGTCACATAGTGGAGACACTCACAAGTGTTTGAAAATCAAATATTTTGCTCATCTGTTTTAAGCATTTACATCCAAGGTGTATAGGTTTTTTGACTATATTTTTAAAAGTCAACCCTTTTCCTACAGTTTTGGGGGTGGATATAAAGTTGACACCTTGCAGTTAGAGTAATAAATTACCCTTTTTCTAACCAGGGTGGATGAGATTTATTTTTTAAACAGTTCTGCAGTGGCACCACAGCCTAAATCTATTGTAGTGCTGGTATTGAAAAAAGAAATCATGCTGCGTATATCAGAAGTGAACTTGAGAAAACAAATATGAGGGAACATTTACCATGGAAACCACCATTCCCTACAGATCCATATTTCCTAGAAAAAATGTTAGAAAGAGGAAGCAAGTTTAAATACATGTAAGGCCTTGACAACACAAAGCAATTATAATGAACTCATGCCAATGAAAAATTAACATCCAAATCAAGCCTGCCTAACAGAAGTTTTCTGAAGGGCCATGGATCAAGGCATGCAAGAGAAAGTGTGCTGTTAGGAAACACTGTCATACCACGAACAGTCTCAGTAACCTCAGTGTGCAGAGCACTCTGCTAGTGCTGCTGAAAGATTCAGAAGCAGAAGCATGGGCAAAATGTACTCTCGGTATGATTCTGTGTGAAGTGAAGTTATTTGGATGATTTTTCATGAGCAAGGTAAAATTTTGAGTGTTAAAGACATGGACAAGGCCACTGTAATCAAAACAGCCTGGTACTGGCATAAAAACAGGCACATAGAGCAATGGAACAGAACAGAGAGCCCAGAAATAAACCCAAATCTGCATGGCCAATTAATATTTGACAAAGGGAGCAGCAACATAAAATGGACTAATAGCCTCTTCGACAAATGGTGTTGGGAGAACTGGACAGGTACTTGCAAAAAAATGAAACTCGAGCACCAACTTACACCATACACCAAAATAAATTCAAGGTGGATAAAAGACTGAAATATAAGCCATGACACCATTAAAGTCCTAGAGGAGAACATTGGCAAGAAAATCTCAGATATTTCACGCAGCAACTTTTTTACTGATATGTCCCCCAGAGCAATGGACATAAAGGAAAGAATAAACAAATGGGATCTCATCAAAATAAAAAGCTTCTGCATGGCTAAAGAAAACAGTATTAAAATAAAAAGAGATCCAACTGTATGGGAAAATATATTTGCCAATGATACCTCAGACAAAGGTTTAATCTCCAAAATATACAAAGAACTTACATGACTCCACTCTAAGAAGACAAGCAATCCAATTTAAAAAGTGGGCAAAGGACTTGAACAAACACTTCTCCAAGGAGGACATACAGAATATTCAGAGACACATGAAGAGATGCTCAATATCGTTAGCTATCAGAGAGATGCAAATTAAAACCACAATGAGATACCACTTTACACCAGTCAGGATGGCTATCATAAACAAAGCAACAAACAACAAATGTTGGAGAGGGTGTGGGGAAAAGGGGTCCTTAGTTCACTGTTGGTGGCATTGCAGACTGGTACAACCATTATGGAAAACAGTATGGAATTTTCTCAGAAAAATAAAAATCGACCTGCCTTTTGACCCAGCAATTCCACTGCTGGGATTATATCCTAAGAATCCTAAAACATCAATATCAAAGAACCTATGCACCACAATGTTCATAGCAGCACAATTTACAATAGCTAAGAGTTGGAAGCAACCTAGGTGCCCATCAGTAAATGAATGGATCCAAAAATTGTGGTACATATACACAATGGAATTCTATGCTGCAGAGAGAAAGAAGGAGCTACTACCTTTTGCAACAACATGGATGGAACTGGAAAGCATTATGCTGAGTGAAATAGGCCAGGTGCTGAAAGACAAATACCATATGATCTCACCTTTAACAGGAAGCTAAACAACAAAACAAACAAGCAAGCAGAAAAAAAAAAACAAAGACACTGAAATAGAGAACAAGGGGATAGTGACCAGAGGGGAGTAGGAAGGGAAGTTAAGGGGAAAAAGGGGGAGGGATTTGGAGGAACAAATAGGAAGGACACAGGGACGAGAACTAAGGGGGGTGGAAATGGGAGGGAGGTGGGGAGCAAGGGGCGGGGGAGGCTGGGATGGGAAAAATAGACAAAAACGGTACTTGAAAAATAACTAAATAAAATTAATTTTAAAAAAAGTGGGCAAAGGACTTGAACAGGCATTTCTCCAAGGAGGACATACAGAGGATCCAGGGACACATGAAAAGATGCTCAATATCACTAGCTATCAGAGAGATGCAAATTAAAACCACAATGAGATATCACTTTACACTGGTCAGAATGGCCATTATAAACAAAACAACAAACAACAAGTGTTGGAGAGGGTGTGGAGAAGAGGGGACCCTAATCCATTGCTGGTGGGATTGCAGCCTGGTACAACCACTGTGGAAAATAGTATGGAATTTTCTCAGAAAAATAAAAATCGACCTGCCTTTTGATCCTGCAATTTCACTGCTAGGATTATATCCTAAGAATCCTAAAACACCAATCCAAAAGAACCTATGCACCCCAATGTTCATAGCAGCACAATTTACAATAGCCAAGAGTTGGAAGCAACCTAGGTGCCCATCAGTAAATGAATGGATCAAAGAATTATGGTACATATACACAATGGAATTCTATGCAGCAGAGAGAAAGAAGGAACTCTTACCCTTTGCAACAGCATGAATGGAACTGGAAAGTATTATGCTGAGTGAAATAAGCCAGGTGTTGAAAGACAAATACCATATGATCTCACCTTTAACAGGAAGCTAAACAACGAAACAAAGCAAGCAAAATAAAAACCAAGACACTGAAATAGAGAACAAGGGGACAGTGGCCAGGGGGTGAGGGGAGGGAATTTCAGGGGGAAAGGGGAAGGGTTTACAGGAACTAGTATAAAGGACACATGGACAACAACTAAGGGGGGTGGAAATGGGAAGGAGGTAGGGAGCACTGGGGGGTGGGCTGGGATGGGAGTAAAAGACAGAAAACTGTACTTAAACAATAATTAAATTTTAAAAAGACATGGACACACCTGTTTTATGAATCAAGGGGAGATTATTCTTGTCTTGTTATTCAGAGCTTGGGGTGGACCACAGAGCTTGACAAAGTAGGTAAATGCTACAGACTACTACAGACAACAATGGCAACAGGATAGTTGTTAAAATTAACAATGTTGTTAAAATGGAAAAAATAAAATATAAACATGGTAAAATTAAAACTGTACTAAAGAGTGAAGCGTTCCTTTCTACCACTTCATTCTCATAGTCCTTTTCTCCCTTTCTCTCTATGCCCGTGTGTAATCTTCAAAATATATTATCCATTAAATATCCTTCCATCTCAGGATAATTTCCTTTACCTCATTCTTAGTTATGATAACTCAGTGTTCCATTGCATAGATATGACAAAACTTTTTAGAAGATTTTATTTATTTGTTTTTAGAGAGAGAGAAAGGGGGAAGAGAAAGAGAGGGAGAGAAACATCAGTGTGTGGTTGCCTCTCACACACTCCTTACTGAGGACCTGGCCTGCAACCCAGACATGTGCTCTGACTGGGAATCAAACCAG